ATTGCATGTCAAGAAAATCCTTTAATTTCACCAGTTAGTATTTTAAACAACAGATGAAGTAAACAACTGTCATGACTGATTGTCTCTCCCCAGAGTAAGATCAGTGAATTAAATCACTTTCTTATGTTCCCAGTGTGAATTTAGGATTCTGTGATATCTGCAAATTGTAGATTTGGTTCCATTAAACACAGCAAAAGCTCTTCTATTTTAATCCATCCGTACTGGAGCCCATCTAGTGTGCTCACCATCCTTTTATAGTCTTGTTTTCCTTTACCTTGTGAACTCTTGGATGTTTTGATCACTGATAAAGAAGAGTATGTGATGAAATGCAATCTCTTCATGTGAACTTTAGAGAACTTAGTTCATCTGCTGCACTTTCCAAGTCATTGTGATTTATTTGTTGCTCTATTATTTGCATTCTTGTATAGGTACAGTAAATATGCAGGGAAGGTTTGTCTTGCTGCTGTTACAGCAGCTTTTGTTTGAGAATGATTCATGTCCAAAGCCTTTAGCATGCATTGCTATGGAAACTTCAGGGTACCAGCTTCTCACTGCCCCGTTGGCAGAGTTCTTCACAATAATTTCTCTTGTACCTGCAAGTTAGGAGTGGTGTTTGCCACTGAAACATCGATGGGCTGAACTTTTATGATCATACATTTAGTGGGCATCTTGTGCAGACAGAAAGGGGTTTTTATTCCAAATACATAAAACTTCCCTGGTATTTCAGCAATAATTTTGGGGTACTGCTGCCACTGAAAAGTCTTTTCTGTTTGATTTTATATCCAGAGATGGGCCAGATCAGGAGTCTGAATGACCTGAGAAACTTTCCCATTTGTTCTTCATTAATATTCAGGCAGGCAGGTTCCTCAGTCTGGTTTTGTGTGATTTTGCAGATGGTTGTGCAGAGATGAGATGAAGAGAGAGATGTGATGAAAAGGTGAGAAGTCGCTTTTGTAATGACTGTGTTGGCTTGTGGTTATTTCAGATTGCCCATGGCAGGTGGATTGTGTAGGGGGTCATCTGGAGACACCTTTGGTTCCTGGTTTGGGTTTTCATTGAATAAAGCAAGTTGCAGATTTTTATTGCTCAACAGAGAGGGCAGAAAGAATCACCAGACTTTGCCTAAGGGTTCCTCCTGCAGGTTTGGAAGGATTGTTATCTAGAAACTGCTTATCTCTTGGTGATAAGGAAGAGCTGAAACATGACAACCAGTGCTTGTATTGACTGGGTGATTTTCTGGAGTGGAAATGCAAAAGAAAAAGACCCAAAAAGTCCATAATAGGAAAACAGTAGGCAGATGGCAGAATGTCCACAAAGACAAGTGAGCTCGGACCTGCAGGGACAGGGGAAAAGAGTTTGACCTGCAGCTGCAGATTCAGAGAAAAGGGCTTGCAGATGTCTCCAGTGTAGCACCATTACTGTTGTTGTGGCAACTTTCATTCACTGGTTACCATCTTCCCTAGCTGGGAATGAAGTGGGTCTCTGTTCCCTTGGGAATTCAGAAGTTATTCTTTATTTCCCAGAAGAGAGGAGAGTGGTGCTCGGGATGCCAGCTCTGAGTGGTGTGGTGTTTTTTGCATGGTTACTGTTTGGAGTGGTGCTGTGTCACTGTGGCTGGGCATCCCTGGAATTGTTGTGGAGGTAAAGGTCTCTGGAGCACTCAGTGCCAGGCTGGGGCTGCTGCCATTGTTGTCTGGACAATGCCCTCGCTGTCAGGCTCTAGGGTGGACACACAGAATATGTTATGGAACAGTGCTTGCTGTGTCTCTGGCTTGGCATGCCTCAGCAGGCTCTGTGTTGTGAGCACTTGCCCATGAAGCTGCCAGAAATAGATTTTTAATGGCAGAGAATTCATGAAAATTGATCTCAACCGTGTAAAGATGCAGGTTCAGTGTGAGATCTCAGGTTGTAGAGGAAGCAATTGGGAAGTCACCTCTCAGGAACTGGCTGAGAAAAAGGTCTTAAGGCACTGGTCTGCTTGGTTTTATTAAGCACTAGGGTGTTATAATTAGTTACTCGTTACTTAAATAAGTAAGAATATGATAGCTTTATTAATAATAATTCTTAAACCAGCTTCCTTACATGGATGTTGAATTTCATGTATGGTAGTGCAAGAATCATGAAAAATGTGCTTCCTTGGGAAAAGCAGTGTTGTCTTTGTATTTTGAGCAGTGTTCTGCACAAATGCTGGAGTTTGGCAATGAGTTGGGAGTTGTTCTTGTAACATGGCACTCAGGTGAGCTGCACTGAAGTCAGTCTTCAAAGGAGCCTTTAGCATGGCCTTATCCAGTATTAATTTTCAGAGTGAGGATGAAGAATAATATTTTCTTTGTAGATTTTCGTGTTGTAAGTACTGAGAATTGCATCTAAAATCAGTGTTTAAGTCAGAATACAACTGTACACAAGCTTGTTTCAGGCATTTTTTGTGCATAAGTTTCCATTACTTGTTCCAACATTGCACAGTTTTACAGAAATATCTTGTTAGAAGGAAGCTGGTTTCATTTTTATATGTGCAGTGGAAGGCTGATTAAATGTGACTGCAGCTTCTGAAAATTGTTATTGGTGTGTGTTCTGGTTTTGGCTGATGCCATTTGAGAAGAACATGGCACTGATGCTGTTTGGCTGTGAGAGTATATGAACTTGCATACTTGAAATATGCCTACAGGAGAATCCCATTATGTGCATGTGGAATCTGTTGGAATCTTCTTGTAGAAGGTTATTTAAATTTCAGTTAAAATTACAAATTGGTTTGCAAGACACTGTCATTTTGAATAATATAAAAAACTTGGAAGTAATCTTACTTTTTGATTCTTTCATGTCACAGTAATTTGCTTATTACCTCTAACCTAGATTAATGTGTTAGGAAGTATTTATTTGGGATCAAGAATTTTTAGTCTCATAACAAACTGTCCATCCAGTCAGTGGTTAGGATTTTAGGAAGCAGTTCTGGTTTCAGGTCTTGTGCAATACCTTAAATAATGTAGGGAAATTTAATCTTTAAAAGATGTGAGGTTTTATTACAAAGTGAATGAGATTCACTTTGGCATTGTGAAATTATTCTTCAAGTTTGCTTGTGGGTTACTTGTGTTGGAAACTTTGGATGGAATCTGGACATGCCCAAGCTGCTCTCTTGGGTCTGTCTGTCACACTCTGTGTGTTTTGCCTTGTTCTTTTTCCAGCTGCCTCAGGAAGAAGGAAAGTGTGACTGTATCTGCCTGCCCTGTTTGCTGGAATATCAGTGAATTTGCATTTCCCCAAACCATTTTCCTGGTAGCAGCTCTGAGCATTTAGGTTGTTCTGTTACAAGACGTGTATGGGGAGCAGTCAGGAAACATCACTGGTCTGTGATGAGTTTCTGATTGCTCTGCTGCATTTCTCTTGTGCAGGATGGAATTAATTCTCATTTTCATGGAATTTAATTCTCATTTCTGCCTTGTACAGAACCAGCAGGTTGCTGTCCTGAGCACGGCAGCTGGGCTGGGATGTGTTAGATCATTGTTTAACATGGCTTTGCATTTCTTCAGTTTCTTTCATCAAACCAAAGGGCTCTCAGTTTTAATACAAAACTTATGGATTATGCACAGGGCTGGTCCATGGTCTGTGTGTCATCTTTATTTTACCTGTTTTATGAATCTTTTTAGCATTTACAGTGTTGTTTTGACTAAACTTTAAAATTATGACAAAATGACATTTTAATTATCGTAGCCTCCAGTGTTGTCACTGAATGAAGAATTATGTAGAAAACATTGTTCACCTCACTGCCAATTTGTGAAGGTAGAATTTTATGAACATAAGTTAATAAAATTCAATGCATAACCCTGGCCATGTTTAATCCATTCTGGAATTCCATTCATTTTGTTTTTCTCATAGATGTGGAATTTCTGAGTATTCTTTTAATAGAAGAGTTCCACTATTTATTCTCAAATCAAAACAATACAAAGCTTTTCTTTCCCTCTGTGCAAGGCTGGATGAGGGAATGCTTCTCTCTGAAATCAGAGTTAGAAACAGGACATGAACCCAGTGTGATTGTCCTCAGGCTCTTTCCTTTGGTGCCAGTTTAGCTGTAACCTTGGCATGAAAATAATGTGCTGTGAACTATATTGTGTATAACCTGAACATTTATGTGTGCACTGCTTGTAAGTGCTGAGTTATTATGTTGTATGTGTTTGCAATTCACTTTATTGATTTTCATGGATGCTTTTTAGGCCTCTATTCCACAGCCTGGTACCTAAAGGTCATACATACAAAATAAATTTGATATTTGAAGTTTAAGATTACCTTTATGTGTTGGCCAACATTATGAGCAAATAAGAAACCTGTTTTTCACTTGTAGTGTGGAATTATGTGAAAGTTATTCATGGTAATTAACCAAAGTAGTTTCTAATTTCTTAAGAGTTTAGTGCACAAGTATATAATTTCATCTAAAAGAGGCAGTCTCTTTGTTACTAATGTTTAATATTGAATTTCTGTAGTAGAAGATTCACATTTGTGTTTATATATTAAAATAAAGTATTTTAAATTGTGTGTCTAGTGGTTTGGTAATTATCTCTAAATTGCTTTTGAATTGGGAATGGGATGAGTGTTTCTTTAACTGTCTCGTATCTTCAGTTTTTATTTGCTCAGTGATACTTAATTTGGAACAATCATGTAATTCAATTATCTTTGTTCTGTATGCATAGCCTTGCTGAAATTAGGCTTTTTGGTTGGTTTGGTTGGTTGAGAAATAGTCAGTTATGTCTTTTGTAGGATAAGATTAATGCAATTAACATTGAATATTATTCCTGTTCTTTTCCATGACTTTAGCACAAGTTAAGGAAGAGCTGTTGGGAGTTGCACAGTGACTCCCAGAGCCTCTCCTTGCCCACTGTGCCCACAGCACGGTGGCCTTGCTGCATTAATGTTCATATTTCCATTCTTTAAACAGTGTGTTACATCGGGAGATCAGTCAGATAAAGCTGGGTTTAAGCTTCCTGCTGAAACGTCCATCAGTAACCCTGCAAGGTGGAATGGGGCAGTGATTGGGTGTGGTTTAATAAATGCATGGTGCTGCTTGTTGTGAGGTTTGGGCTTTGGTGTTGGGGGGGTTTCTTTTGTTTGTTCAGGATTTTCCCCCCCAACTAAGTGAGCTTTAACTGCCATATTGCCACTCTGAAGATGTAAGAAGTGTTATGGAAAACAGGTTACTGTTGTTGACGTGCAGGTATTGCAGTAGCTGCAGTTGAAGCAATTTTAATGAGTTTGAGGGAAAAAACCCTCTGAGTTCAGAATAAATTACCACAAGGCTTTTGAATTGTCCTTTGGTGGTTGTACAGGTTTTTTATGCTGCAGCCTTGAATATAATAAGTTAATTCACAAGCTACAGGTTTTGTGTTCTAGATGAGACAAGAATTTCAGAGGGACCTTCTGTGATTTGTCATGCAGTTCTCTATTTGTATTAAAATAAGAAAAAGAATTAGCAAATGGCACTGGAGAAATGGACACTCTCAATGACAAACTGCCTTCTTTTTCCTAATTCCAGGGCATATTCCCTTGTGGATTCCAGTCAAGTGTCTACCTTCCTGATTTCTATTCTCCTCATAGTCTATGGCAGTTTCAGGTAAGATTCATTTTTTGAGGTTCTGCAGAGTTTTTATTTTTCAAGTAAAAATATTGCAAGTGACTGAATACAGTTTATGCCTTTTGCTTCATTGTATCTTTGTCAGACATAGCCAACATTAAAAAATTATTTGCTTCTGAGAAGGAAATGGAAAAGGAAGAAATAATAGTGAGCTGGGGTTTCTGAAAGATGTAATTGTTTGTCACAGTACAAGCACATATAAAATAACTTAAAAGTCAGTCCTTGAGGACAGCTCTGTAAAATCGTGTTTTAGAGAGTAGAGAAGGATTGTTGAGACAGATAGAAGGTAATGTTCTCAACAGCAGAATTTTCTATACTTTAGCCAATGGTGGTAGATTGAGATTTTCTGTGGTTTCAAACCTGTCCTGAAACCAGCAATCCCCAGGTCCCACTGCTGTTTGCTCGAGTGTCAGTAACAGCTTCATAGAGAAATGGGAAACATTTCAGTGTTGAATTCCAGCAAAGCATCTGAGAACTGCTGCAGGATGAGTTTGTCTTCAGAAATCAAATTTACCTCATTTTAGGAGATTTGAATATAATTTAGAGAAAACAGTTATCCTTTTAGACTTGCATGCTGTATTACACAGTTTGTTTTACTGTAGTGGCACCTGAGGAATGAGGCTCATACTGACGTTTTAAAACAATATAATCACAATATTAAAGTATTATTTTTTTAAACTTAAATACAGCATGTTTTTCTTTCTGCTTTTTGAAGAACATGGCTTCATTTCACAGCTCTGTGATAAAAGGCCTTATACTCACTGTGGACTCTCTGAACTGCTATGAGTATTCCTGAAATAGATGAAAGCTGTGCTCATCCATATGATGTGAGCTGCAGCTGGTTTTGGATAAGAGGTTTTATAGCACTACCATAAGTTAATAAAGTCATATAATGAAAGAGCCAGGCTTTTTGCAAGAGCTGTCTGTTGTTGTTAGCAAGCGTTAGGTAACAGCACTGCTGGTGAAATTAAAATAGAAGGCTTTAGGAAAACAAAATCCAGAGATGGTCAGAATAAAAAAGTAATCAAAGGTTGTGTTTCTTTAGTTTTTTCTTCAAGTTTTTAGTCAGATTAGCATATAGTTGAGGGTCTAATTAATTTTTAATAATTTGAATTTATGCAATTATGTCAAAAGGAATGATACATCTGGCTGCAAGAAGCCATAGCATTTATTAAAATTCAATTATGAAAACGTAGTGCAATATAAAACAGCAGGAGTGTGTGAACTTAAATTGCTTGTCTTTCTTGGAGCTCATTGCCCTTCAGAATTATCCCCTGCTGTTTGCCATCCTATTCCTATCCTACACATGCTTTTAGCATTTTGTCCTATAGTTTACATTTAAAACTACTCACCTAGCAAGGACTGTGACCTCCAGAGCAATCTGATTCACTGGATGGAGTAGTGGGATGGTGATGGATACAAATCCATTGAAGAAATCTCCTGTTTTAATCTTTTGCCTTTGTGTGTATCCTGAAGACCCCACTGTGTGAGTTACAGACCAAAATAAGGTCCCAGAGTTTTAAAATTACTTTCCTAATTAATCTCCTGTATGTGGTTTCTTTAGCAGGTGTCTGAGCTGAAACCCACAGTTATGTTGGGGACTTAGACAAATCCTGATTCTCTTTGATCAGAGGTCAAAAGCAGTTTTTTTACAGAAGATTGTGCAGTGGTGTTAACAAAGGGGTCTGAAATACCCCTTAAGTTATTTAAGAAATTGAAGTGTGGTAGTAAGTTGCAAAATTATATTCATCTGGAAATTCTTAAGATAGTAAAATGAAAACTTCTGGCAAAGCAGATTCATTTTCTTAGAAAACTGATGTGCTGAAAAGATAAAAGTTACAGCTTAGGGTGCTCATTCTCATCTGTCAGTGGTGCTATGTTCATCTGGATTTGAGTGCTTGTCTCCTGCAGAGTTGTTGTAAGACAAAAAGAAAATAGCACTCCTTAGTTAACCTTTGTGTTGCAGAAAGTGGCTTTGGTTTCTGATTTTCAACTGGAAAGAAGCAGGTAGAGTTATTGTAGTATTCCTGGTGAGTGGCTGAAACAGAAGTGGAGTAATAGGATCAGAAGGAATCGGGTGGGTGAGTCATCAGGATAAAATCCACGTGTGTTGTGGATCCAATCTAAAGCAGGTGGCATCAGGGGAACCAAGGGAAGCCTTGGTCCAATGTCCTTATTAATAGAAGTAGCATTTGTCCAAAACAAATGAAAAAATCCCAACCCCCCAGTATATTTAGAAGAATGTCTGATAAATTGTGGTAAAGCCAGAACCAGAACAAAGTGCAGTGACAGAGTAGAGTTCCCCTTCTCTGACTGTGCATGAACGAGCATTTCCTGCCTACATTTGTGCTGGGTCAGGAGTTTTAGCTTCCAGCCCTTCTGAATGTCTCTCTCATGTACATTCTGACTGCTCTCAATCCTTGAACTTGACATACTTTTATTATTGGCTGCCAAAGGGGCAAGTCTAATCCTTTAAACCATTGTGAGCTGTAAACTGGAGCATGCAAGTAAATGTGTTAGTTGTGGATTTTTAACGAGGTGAGCTCAGCTTGAAACAGGTTGTGTCTGAGGGGCAAGACAGGCACCTATTCTTGTCCAAATGCTTCTCTGTGATTTAAATGTTGGGGTTACTTTTGCAGGTAACAGCTAAATCTCTTTCTATCCTATCACCTCCCCAGACATGGGCTCTCAGCTTAAGTAAAGCAGATTTAACCCAGAATCTACCTGTTCCAATACTTGCTTTTGAGCCAAACCAAGAAGTGTGGGATGACCCTGGGGCTTTCCGTCTCTAGGCTTTGGGTAGCCAAAATGTGGGTGTGAATAGAAAGTAGCTCACATGGGAACCCGGAGTGTCATGTGAACATGGTGTGCTGAGGGTTGGCTTTCCAATGTGGCATTCCCATGCTCCCAGAGCTCTTGGATTGGTGGCCGTCCTCACTGCTAGAGCAAGAAGGAACTTCTCAATAAATTGCATCTATCTATAGATAGATCCTTGTGCTCCTGTTTTCTCCACTGTTTGGTAAGAACATGTCCTGCAGGGTTTCCCTGAGGCAGTGGAGTGATCCATAGTTCAATCTGAGCTTTGCAGGCCGTGCCCTGCCAGCAGCTCCCTCATTCCTTCGGCCCGGTGTAACCCTGCGGAGGGGCGCGGGAGGGGGCGGGGCCCGGGCGGGAAAGGAGGCGTGGCCAGGGCGTGGCCGGGGCGGCCCCCGGGGTGGAGGGGGCGGGGCCTGGCTGGAGGGGGCGGGGCTCTCTTGCTTTGCCACCCTGCGCTGGCGATGCGAGCAGCTGGAGCTCTGAGGAGCCACAGAAGGAACAATGGTGCAGTTCAGTGCCCCAGGGGAGATGCTGACTCAACATTCCCTTTAGGAGCCCAGGGAAAACTTGAACAAAACAGCGAATGTTTCCCAGCTTGCCATTTCTGTACAGCCCAGTAGTTTTGAGTTTATCTTGTTTTACAGTATGATTTTTAACTTTCTTGGAAGGTGTTTTAGTGATCACTCCTCAGTTTTTTTAATGATGTTAGTGATAATTTGTAGCAGAGGGAAGAGCCATATCATAAAACAGTTGGAGATTATTCAGAGGTTGGCTTGGAAGAGCAGCTGTGTTGTTAAGTGAAAGTAATTTCCTAATTTATGCTTACTTTGGAGGCAGGGATATTTATAGGTAATAATAATTGCTGACACTATGGCAATGAAAAGAAAGGGGCTGAGGTTGTTTTATGAGCAGTAGATCTAATAGGTTTTATTTCCAGTTTTCTCTGCTGATAGCAATCCCTTAAGTTATGAGTTGCCTGGTGCCACTGGGAGAATGATGGAGTGAGGTTCTTGCTAAACTGTGCTAATTCAGAGGGGAACAAAACACTGCACTGAGAAAAGAATTATCTTGTGTGCCTGAATCTTGGGCCAAGTCCTGGAGGGCTGTCAGCCTCCTCCCAGATTTTTATAGCTTGAAAGTTATAAAGCTACAATGCCTAATGGGGAAAAAGGGAGTGTGAGTGAAGGATGGAGGCACTCCAGACAAAGGGCAGAGCAAAGAGATCTTTAGATGAACAAGCTAAGAACAACAGATTAATTTGTTAGAATTTTAGTGTTCTCTATTACCTCTTTGTATTTTCCATAACTCTTTAGCTGATGATCCATGATCTCTGTAGAAGCACTGTGGATCTGAGATAGGAGTTTCCTCGTGTTCTGCCCAAGGCCAAAAACTGCTTTAATATCTTAACAATGTTGGGGAGCACTTGCTTAATAGAAGCAAAGGAAACAAACCAGGTCTCTGCTGGAAGAGCCTTTTACTTGGTTTTGTTTTATGAAATGAAGCTACTCAACCCCTCTTTCTTTAATACACCACGTGTGTCTTGGTCCTATAGACCTGATTGTTCCTAATTCCAGGTTCTGGGACTGCAGCACAGACTTGCTCACCTGTGCATTGCAGTAGATGATCAGTGCACTGCAATAGAATATCTGTGACACCTCTAGAACAATTTAGAAGACCGTGGTGTATTTATCACTGGTCTGATTAATGAATAGACTTTGTTTACAGTTAAGCTACACTTGAAAAGAAGTTTTATTGAAATACTTGTATACAGCTGTGAGCTTAAGACAGGAGCTGTGCAGTGGGAGATGCTCAATGCTTCTGGTGGTTCTCTGTAGCTCATTTGAATAAATCAGTATACAACTAAATCATGGATACCATACATGCATCAGAATGAGGAACTGTCATGGTAAACTTGATTGTTGGTGTTTTTGTTAAAAAGCACGTCAAATTTAACAACAGAAATTATTGCTGTCAAAAAACAGACCTTAAGTGAAATTCTCCCTTTTCAGAAAGTTATGCCAAACGTGTTAGAATATAATTTGGAAGTTGTATCAAAGTGGCAAAAGGGCTGGAATACTGTGCTAAATTGGAACTTTTGAAAAGTGTTTATATCAACATGAAAAGATGAATCAATAACAGCTGAGCTGGGTACTCAGGGGAGTGTTGTCAGCTCCTATGGATTAATAAAAGTGTATCAATTTGTACTATTTATTCAGAGCTTCCTCTCGTCATCTGTTCTTTATGCATGTAGAATATATATCTGGCTGTTTTCTAGGCTTTGCTGGATTTTTTCAGTGAAGTAAGACCTTACATTAAGCAGTCACTTAAAAGCTAGTTTGGGTCATTCATAACAGCATTTTGAGAAAGGCAATATTATTGCATTAAAAATGAAACCTGATAGTGAAATTTGAATGAAAAGGAACAAAAATGAGAACTTGGAAAGAGTTCAAATTCACAAGAGAATTGAAATGTTCATTGTGCTTCCATTGTGTAGAACACAGAAATCAGGTCTCAACAAACAGCAGCACAGATATTTAACACTCCCCAGTGCAGACACTGTGGTGACTGATCTCACTGTCAGAATCTGGGCTGTGGGGCCTCATGTGGAACTAAGCACTTCAGTTATTTTAATTTCCCACTGTGTCTGGTGTTGTTTCTAATAACCAGCATTACAGGGCTCTTCCAGGGGGAGGGTGCTGTGGCAGTGAGATGAGTCTGCAGCTGATGAGCCTAAACAGGAGTTTGGAACTCATCTGTCACATTTGCTTTGTTCCCTGCAGGTCTCTGAACATGGACTTTGAGAACCAAGACAAAGAGAAGGACAATAGCAGCGCTGCTGGGTCTTTTAATGGCAACAGCACCAATAACAGTAAGGGCCAGCTTTACTCTTTCTCCTTTTTTGCTTCACCTCAGTGCTGCACCTCCTGCCTCACCTGTGTGTGTGTCTGAGCTGCTGCATTGCAGCTTCACCTGGTCCCAGGCTGTGTCTGGGCACTCCCCACCTCGCTGTGCTCTGACACTGCTGTCCTCATCTGGGTCACACCCATGAACGCTGAATTTCAAACATCAACATTTCCATAATGCATAAAAATCGTGTGTGGCACAATTTGTCAGGTTTGACTGGAAATGGAAACAGCTTTACTTTTAAAAAAGCCAGCCCCCAGTCAGGAGAAGGGAGTGTAATTCCTTTTTGTCTGGGGCTCGTTGCTGTGGCGTGTTGGCCAGTCTGTAAGCAGGGAGGGATCGCTGACAAGTTCCTAAGGAGGATTCACCTTATCAGCAGAGAAACTGAACTAGAGAGTTCACATGGCTCTGGGCAACTCATTTATAATACACAACAAAATATGTGTCTGCACACTGTCTATTCAGAGTGGGATTACCATGTCAGCTCCTGCGTGGTAGCTGTCCCTTCTGTAGTCTATAAATAGATTGCAGGCAGCTTGGCCATCTGACATGCACAGATTTGCAGGTAGAAATGTGGAACCAATCAGTTAGAGTGGGACACAGCGTGCACAGTGTGTTGTAAATTCATACTTGAGTTTAACTTAAGGCAATTTATATTGCCATATTTTGAGAAAAGGCTCTAGAATGAAAGTTTCCCAGAGTACAGAAGGCAGGAGTGAGAAGCCTGTGCACGAAACCCTGAATGCTAAGCTTGTTTGGTTTAAAGGAAGAAGTATAGCTTTAAAATGATAAATGAAATAACATATGTTGTATGTGTCTCTTGCTGGTTTTGTCTTTTCTAATGTAGACTCTTGGAATTTAAATAGTTCTCAGAGCACTGCTTCTGTTGGCAGCACAGAGCAAAGACATTGCTGTGCTTGGTGATACAGCAATGAGCAGTTGAGGCTTTTGGCATCTGGCAAAGAAGAGAAGACAGTCTGGGGCTGGGGAATAAGCACATTAAGGGGATTAGCTGTCAAAATGATCAGAAATGAAATGAAGAACTCTGACATTTAATGCTGCAGGCACTAATTCCCAGATGCCAAGGTGGTGTGTAGTGTGTCATTTATGGGTTTTTGTTTTGTTCATTTTTTCCCTTGGGAAGTTGAAGGGCATGTGAATAAATGTGCTTTCTCAGAGCAGAAGGAATCAGATCTAAGTCACAGATGAGAATTTTTGTGTCTTCACACTGTCATCACTGGACTGTCTACATTTCACTTTACCTTAATGTACCAGACCTCAGCAATGCAGAAATCCCAAGTGACTGAGTTCTTCTGCTTTGTATTTTTAAAATCTATTGTGCTACTTACGTGTAAGAGTAATAGATCATGACATGAACCAATGAATGACATGACCACGTACAAGTGTCATGACTTCCATGCTTTTTGTTCAGCTTTCTTTTATGAAAATGGTTGAATATTTATAAAAGATACTAAGTTGTAGTGAGTGTATTTCATGTGTGTTTGAGGTTTTTCAGCATAACCAGATACATTGGTAACTGTGTTGTACAGGTAGCCTGTTATTTATAGGACTTGTCACTCTTGACAGGAAAAAATAACATAAGACACATTCTCACACAGAAACACAGACACACAGTCTGTGCATATATTTACTTGCCTGGGTATGCCTCACAACCCTAAAGGCTTATCTTTCAAATCCCCCTTCATAGAGCAGTGTTTAATTATTTTGGGATAGCACAGTTGATGTCAAGCTGGTTTTACATCTCTTCTAGGTCTTAGTCTTGTATTCTTTCCCATTGGTCACTCTACTAAGTGACTGCTTCAGATGTTTCCTATTGTTACTTTAGTGCTCTACAAGTAGAAGTGTGTCTTGTATTTTTAATTGGGTTACTGCTTGTGGCTTTTCCCTCGCCAGGGATCAAATGTAAATATAGCTACAGAGACTGGTTAAGTCTTGGAATTTGTGGGGTTAGATGAGTTTCTCAATTTTGCTGGTAATTCTGAAAACTCAGAAGTACAGTAAAAGTTGTCCTGTCCTATGATTAACATCCCTGGTAGTCACATTGCATGGGTGAGGTGAAGGAAATACTGAGTGAAATAATTCAGTATCTCTGCCCTGTTTAAAATTACTGCCAGCTATGGAATGTGAGCCTGGATTCGTGTTGGTTTTTAGCCAAAAGGCAATTACAGTGCACTTCACTGACCTGCTGGTTTCATAAACAGGTAAGTGACTTGGGTATTTTTTGAAAACTGCCCTTTATTGTTAGGCTTGATATTATCTCATGATTGCAGCCTATGATGAAATTTAAGAGGTTGGTGGCCTTCACCCAGGTGGAATTTGAAGCTGTGGCGCCCTTTGCATGAGTTGGGTCAGCCTAACGTTGGTCAGGCTTTTCACTTTTATGTTCAGAGATTAAGCAAACCTTACATATACTCCACTCAACACATTTATGTGTTTCAGTGTAAAGTGATTCCAATCCCTAAATAATGTTAATTTTCACAACTTGTCATTCATGGTATCCATGGCACGAGATGAAACTGAGCTCTCAGTTGGTTTGCTCTGCAGAGTGCACTCAGCTGGGTGTTCCTGCACAGGCAGCTGTGCTGGGCTCACACAGCACCGAGGGGGAATGTGCTGTCAGAGCCCTGCCTGTGCTGGCCAGGGCCAGTGTCCCTGTGAGGCACCAGACACGAGCTCAGTGTCCCCCTCTCTCCTGCAGGTATTCAAACCATCGATTCCACCCAGGCGTTGTTCCTGCCCATTGGAGCGTCCGTGTCTCTCCTAGTTATGTTCTTCTTCTTCGACTCAGTTCAAGTTGTCTTTACAATATGCACAGCAGGTGACTGAGTTTCTTCTCTTTGTAAGACTTGGAATAGAACAGAAAGTATTGATGTAATTAAATATTGTTGGTAAGAATTATAATACATGTCACGGTACATTAAAAAAAAAATTGTCAGGTTTCACAGTTGTGTTTTCATGTCTGTGTAGCTATAAATAAAGTGACAAGTATTATTTGAGAAGTATTTTCCACTTAGAGATGTGCTAAACCTATTGAACTATAAATTGCTAGAGGTCTAAACATGCCCAGATGTGTTATTTTGCATGAAGTTCACTTGTTTATAAATCGCTGCTCAGAACTGTACATGGTGATTCATAATTCAAGTACTTCATGGGAAATAATTTTGGGGCTACTGTCCAGAGACTTCCTTCCTGCTTTAATTTTGGTTTGGCTTTCATGCAGTTTTTCTGTTTCTGATCTCACTAACATTTGAATATTAGTCTTTTGCACTGCTTGAATTCAGAACAAAATTTAAACATACATGCAAATAAATTCCAGATCCTCCAGTCCTGTTTAGCATTTACATTTTGTCTTTTAAATAAATGCCAGGGCATTGCTTTTTGGAAAATTTTGGCCTATTGATCTTTTTACAATTCTTCAAGAGACCAGCTGCAGTTGAGAGTAGCAAGATTCTACCTACTGCTCCAGAGATACAGCAGCTTCTAAAAATTATACTCAGTTCACATACACATATGAGTATACATACTGAGTGTGTGAAGATTTTTAACCTCCTAAATACCTCTCATCCTCTCCTACTTCATTGCAGGCTTTGCCCTTATTGTTTAACTGTTGAGCTGTGCCAGCCTCTTAAACAGGGCTGATGTTGATGGGTGAAATCTAATTCTCTAATCTTGAGACTCCTGTCTAATTCTACTGCCCGTAGAGGCCTGCTGAATTCTGCTTTTATAACTTTATAACTTTGACCTATGATGCATACATTCTTTCCTATTAAAAATACTTCAGATAGATTCTACTGTATGCTAGATATCAGGGAAATATATACACATAAATATATAAGATATTACCAGGAAAGATTTATGACAGAAGAGGAATTTTAATTTGTTGGGGTTATTGGTGCATTTATTTTTGAAATGACCTTGGGATTTGTAACTTTATTTGTAACACTTCCGTGTGTATCTGGAGGATCCTGTGTCCCTTGGGGCTTGTTGCAGGTCTCAAGGGACTGGGGGTCACTGCTCTTGGGTATTTTTATTCTTGAACCTGGTTTTATGGTATGTTTGTGCTTTTCCTTGGGCTTGCATCAGAGGTTGTCCTCAAGCCCAGAACCTCTGAAATGCAAAGGTTCCTCCAAGGCTGTACAGCAGGATGGGGACCCTGCTGCAGCTGTGAACCTGGGGCTGTGGAACTTGGTCCCTCTTCCCTTGAGGGGGAAGACCAAGCTCAGGTCATGCTATTTTACATCCTCTCTAGCTAGTAGGGGCTGATGTGGGGGACTGCTAAATTACAGCTGATGTCTGGTTTCTTAAACCACTCTCAAATCTTCCTCTCACAAAGATTTGCCTTTCAGGGAAGAGTCAGGAGCAAGCGTAGGTGCAGCAAGCAGCCCAGGCCAGGAACCAGTGCTCGGCGGAGGGCAGAGCCCAGAGCTGGCATTGCCTGCAGGCAGGAGTTAAGCCAAGGGATTGGCGACTGAATCCTCGGGATTGAGGCTGGAGGGGATGGGAGGCTTGGGCTGGAAGGCTGGACAGTCAGGAGCAACGCTGGGAGCGGCTCTCTCTGCACTGGAGTCATCGCAGTTTAACTCCCGCTCTGAAGGAGAGGCGCAGGGCTCCCTGCTGGGCAGAGCTGGAGGGGAGGAAAGGGAGGAGAGATTCCCAGGGGAAAGGGGTTGAGCCTGTGCTGGCAGGGTAGGGAGCAGGGAGGGCAGGCAGGACTGGGGCAGCAGGGGCACAGGGTTTCTGGGCAGTGTTTTTGCCAAGCACCTCCAAAGAGGTTCTTAGTTCAGTTTGTGCAGAGTTGCCACAATGTTCATTCTTTCCCTTACCACTCCTGGTTTCTTCCCTGCTCTGAGATATTGATAGAACTGTGAGTTTTTATGGTGCTGTTTGTATGCAGACACTTCTTAAATTTTCTTTTTAGATTATTCAAGTTCCCTTTTTGTTTTGTTTTGTTTTGTTTTGTTTTGTTTCAAATCTTCCTCCCACCAGAAGGGAAAGATGTGGTTTGACCAAACGAATTTTTCTCTGGTTGGCTTAAACTATAAGATAATGTTTGATTCTTTCCCATCATCTTCCTTTGAGAAGAGAAGAAAAATCCCTTTTAGAAACCAGCAACAAAAATTTTCAAAGGAATAAGTAGAGGACAGCACAAAGACCTGAATTGCAGCATGCAAGAAATTCCAAGCAGCTTCCATTTTCACTGCAGTCTGTTCTTGCTGCACAGTTTTGGATGTGTGCTGCTGACATGTCTGTGTCCCCACACCCTCACACTCCAGCCTTTTAAACAGTCCTTCAAAAAAACTGGAAGGAAAAATGATTATAAATACCAGCAGTTACTAAACGTTTTCACAAATGTGTGGGTGGGATAAGTATGCTGCTTGAAAAAGAAAATGCTTATGGAAATAGTCTATTTGGATATTTATGTATTTTTATCATTCTGTTTTCAAAAACTTAAAAGCACTTTGTATTTTAAAAAAGTGAGGTTGCCAGCTACTGGCTCTAAGTTATTTGAAGTTGTACTGTGTTTTCGTAATGAATAAAGAGTTTCGAGTGAGATGGGGGAAGAATTACTATCTGAGTTAAAAAGTGGAAAAAAACCTCCTTTATTATGCTGAGTTAGTCTGTGTTGTATGTTGAAAAATTGTAAGAAAATCTCACAACCAGTTTGTAGTAGATATTTTTTACCTCAGAATATATGAAAACTGTTTTTCTTGCTGACATGATCATGTATAGATTTAAGACTTTTGTTTTAAGATTTGGTGTTGCATTCCTTTGAGAGCTTTCATTTTATTTCAGTCTGAAGGCTCACTGTTGTGCAGAAAACCTCAGAGCTTTGAGCTGCTCATGCTGGAATAATACTGAACATATGATAATAGGACATTGTTGCAAGAGCTTTTTCAAATTGGAGAAGCCTGTTTGTGTACTGTAGAAATTAGGTCTGAATGTCCTAATATTACCTTTTCTTCTTTTCATAGTCCTTGCAACAATAGCTTTTGCTTTCCTTCTGCTCCCGATGTGCCAGTACTTAACACGGCCTTGCTCACCTCAAAACAAGTAAGGACCTGAGCAATCCTTTGCTCTTCTTCTTGTGTGTTGTATTTCTTTCTTTTAATGAGAATTCTTTAATAAGCATTAACCTCAGGGCTGATGTTTGTGCATATGTTTTGTGCCAACATCATGTTTCCACTTTGAAAGTGGAAAGCACAATTTCTGCAGGTCACTCACACTTGCCATCCTGGGAAATGTGATACCGTTGAAGGGGACTAGATTTCCCAACAGTGATTTTTTAATAAGTTTGGCTTGTTTTGGCTGAGATTTTAGAGATTGGGATTTGGCATTGGATTTGAATGCTGGCTCTTTCGGAGGCTGTAGTTAAGCCAGTGGAAATTACAGTTGTTAATGCCATGTTTTGAAACTAATTTTATTTTTTAACCTTGTAATTGGAGTTCATGTTGCTAAAAGCACTATCTTAGGTGGTGCTAGGAATGGTGGCAATTTCAAGAGAGGTGCCAAGATTTACAGGGTTTTTTCCATCTCTGCAGTTCATGCTTTACACACAGTATTTGAATGTTAGGAAAGCTTTTATTTTGTTGCTGTTTTGGTACCTATTTGTGGCAAAGGAACTTCCCTTCAGTTGTTCTTGGCATCTTTCATCAGCAGTTGAGCCTTGTTCCAACAGTGTCCATTTTCTGTTCTTTAAATGGAAACTTAAAGTCTTCCAGCTGATGTTTGTGTGTTGTTCTAGGATTTCCTTTGGCTGCTGTGGGCGTTTCACTGCTGCTGAGTTGCTCTCGTTTTCTCTGTCTGTGATGCTTGTCCTTATCTGGGTCCTAACTGGCCACTGGCTCCTAATGGATGGTGAGTATGTGAATTAAGGAGTTTTACTATTGGTTTGTGCCTGTTCTGACACATCATTTGCCTGGTGATGATGGGTGAAATTTGCTAATATTAATGGCTTGGCTGCTGAGCTGTGTGGCAGACTCCCTGGAGAGCCGCTGCCAGGAACATGCCAGGGGAGTGCTTGGAACACCTGTTTTTCTGGTTTGTAAAAGCTTCCAGGGAAGTGCCAGAACACTCATGAAAGATATTCTGCACCTGTGTGGTGTAAGGTGAATGGCCAGATTGAGTTCAAGATGTGTGGAGACAGTGGTTATTTATGATTCACAGCTTGATCCTAAAAATTTGGTTAATTTTTGCTGTGCATGTTGTTGTTTATTGGTTCCAGTGCTCAAATAATTTGTTGTGAGGCAGCTCACAGTAGCTGCTTGTCTTTGATCTGTGTGGTGCCTGCCTTGTGTGGTGAGATGGGTGAAACTGGCAATCAGCCAGCTGGCTTGAGGGTGTGATTTATTGGGTTTTTTCATGGTGGTTGACCTGAATTCACAGCTTACTGTTCCAAAAAGGAGCCTTCGTCCTTCCCTCCTGCCTTCCAGATCTCTTGTGCTAGCTCTGGCACTCACTTAATCACATGGTAAACTGATCCAGCTCACTAGAATGGCAGCATACTTGGGTTTTGCCAGGCTATTTTTCTGCTGCTGCAGTGAGATGAATTGGATTATTGTGTAGTCAGGTATGTGCTAAATTTGGCAGAAGGTAAGTGGCAGCATGATGGGATCTGAGGGGATGGAGTGGATACAATAGCAAAGGCATGAAGGGGCAGCCAGGAGCAGGACCTCTGCTTCTCAGCAGTGTCAGGCAGCTAAATTGGCTTAGGACATAGTGTAATGGCACCCTGAGGTCGTGATTGCTTGAGGAAAAATTGCTGCAACAACATTACCTGCCCTTGAAATTGTTTGTTACAACAGAAAACATTCATCCCATCAGCTTCCAGCTCCTCCTAAATGAGGCAGCAGCAGCAGCAGCAGCATGCCCTTAGCACTGAAACCTCTCATGGCACCATCACTCTTTCTTCTGTGTTTGGGCACTATACTTCATTCATGGTTTGAACTGCTTTAAGAGTCCCACCTGTTGTATGGAAGGGAAATACCTTTTAAAAAAAAGATGGTAAATGAAAAAATGCAGACAAAGTCTGTTTTGTGATAAGCAGAGTAGCCCACTATGAAATCAAGGGTGACACTTGATCTGCAGTAGCTGCAAAGCTAAAAGTAATGTCAAGTGTGGATTTTGGCAGAATCTGAAGAGTTGTCTACTCTGAGGTATCAGCAGAAGCATTTAGTTAAAAAGTTATTTTTGTGAGTGCTTTAGTCTGACATGGTGGACTTCACAGTAATTCATCTACAGAGCTCTGAGCTGCTGGTACAGAGTGGTGTCTGGCTTTTATTTCTCTTGGAGGCTTTTTATGATTTACCAAGTTGTGTTGCTGCTGTCTCACTTTGAATTATTTTATGTAGTTTATTAAGGAAGCTTGAACTATGTAGATGATTCTCCTGTCATTTGTTCAAATCCAAGTAAATCGGTGTTTGCCAGTGACACTAAACAGGGAATAGCTTTTATTGGCCTTTGTCAGGGAAGCAGACTGGAGCTTTAGTCCTGTCCTGTGCTGCTGCATGTGGCATCCCATCATCATCTGGAGATGCCAGAGGCTCCCGGGGGGCAGCAGCCCCTCTCACTCTGCATCCCAGCGGAGCACTCCTGTCCTTAGGCAGCGCTGGCAGCTGTTTGGCCGGGCCTGTTTGGCCGGCAGAGAATGAAGCAGATGTTGTGAACGTGCTGCTCATCGCCCGGGCGGAGCTGGAGGAGGAGCTGGAGGAACAGGGCGGGTGTTCCTTCTGAGCAGTAGCACATGGGGAGCCCTGGCTGTTCGGTCGGGGCTGTGCAGTTGATTCTGTCAGTGTGAAGGAGCTTTGCTGCTCGAGAGGAGCTGGGGCAAACACGGGAAATATTTCTTGGTAATCGCCAGTCCTTGTGAAATCGAGGTGTGGCGATTCCTGCTGGAACAGCCTTCAGTGCCCAAATCCTGCCCTGCCCCTGCCTGCACAGCCAAGGTGCTTCTAAGGGCAGGGTTGTGTTACAGGGCAGAGTGAGCCTGTGTTGGCTCCAGGGGGTTGTTCTGGCATGTGTCGAGGCACCTCTATAGGTATTGAAATGCTTATTTCTCAGAGCAGATTGTTGGATGACTGAATCACCAAGGATGGTCACTGTTCCCTGGTAAAGCCTGGTTAAAATAAAAGCTTTCCTAAATAGTGGGCAGAGCTGGAGATGTACAACAGGAATGCTGTAGATGTATGGAACATCTGCAGTTACAGAGTGAACAGCACGGTCACGGATACCCCAGGAGTTGCTGAAGAATTGGGCCTGTGTTCTTATTCCCTTCTTTTCAAATACATTTTGATCAGATCAGAGCTTCACCTGGTGGCCTGTGGGGGAAGTTAAAGCCCCCCCAGCCTACACTGTGCTTTGTAAACCAGATCCTGCACCAGCAGCATCTTGAGCTTTCACCTGCTTTGGATGCAGGAGAGCTGGAAAGCAGAGAGTCTAATCAAATATGCAAGAATATTCTTAATCCTCAGATATCCCTGTTCCATAAAGAGTATGTTGCAGAGACTCTGGAGTTAATTTGTTCTGTTAATTGACAGTTAACTCCTCCAGTGCTTTCTTATTCACCCTTGTTAACCCATTGCCCAGCACTTCCACATCAGAGCTGCTGGCTGTGTGGCTGCTCTACCTCTCTTTCTGTCTTTATCTCATCTTTGGCTGTATTTTTTTTTTTTTTTTTAATGATTTGAAGTTTATTTCAGTGCAGATCTGCCTTACATAGTTTGTCAACACTCGGCATGGGCTTGGACAGGGAAGCTGGCTTCCATTTAGAGAAGTCCATTGACTGCACTTTGGCCCATATTATTTGTACTTGCTCTCGGGCATTCCTGCTTGTTTATTAAGTTTACCAGTGTTTCTTAAAGCATTTGCAAAACTGTGTAATTATTAGCATGTGCATTTCACTGTCAGTTGAAGGATTTTTTCCATCTTCTTTTCTACCCGGTATTTGCTTAGTTTGATGCCTTGTGCATGTGCCTGTGTTCATTTCAATGAGAAGGAAATGGAGTGTGTGAACAATAGATAAAAAACATACTGGTTAAAGTATTTCCATTTCTCATTAATTATAACCTGGAAATTCTCTCCTAAATATAGGCTTGCTTGAGCTATTATTAACACTGGCTTTAGAGCAACTTCTTTGATTTAAAACAGTCTGTTCCCTTGTATTTGCTCTTCTGCCAAGAAAGTCTGTAACTCAGGGCTATACTGAATTACTAAATGCAATTATTTTTCCTTCTGCTTTGCTGTGTCAAATTCTTTAAACCTCAATATTTTGCTCACATTTTGTAGCTAGTTACAGTTGTGCAGTGTGACTTAGGGTACATTTTTATGTCATGATCCCACTGCTTTGTTAAAACTGGTGCTGTGACAGTTGTGGTTGTGCTAAGGTTGCCAGTTCACAGGAGATAAGGTGGGCTTGGCAGAATTGCTGGGATGCAGCCCCTGGGCACTGCAGGCACATGCTGGCAGGAGGCCTAAGGCATGTTTATCTCTTGAATGGATGTGTCTGGATGTGTTTCTGCAGTGAGTGGATAGAAGATCTCCCCAGCTTTCAGGTGAAATGCAAGTGTCAGGTGGCTTCACAGCCCTGTAATTACAGCCTGAGAATCCAGAGGTTAATTTGTACATTTTGGCTGAGTCCACATGTCACACTGGTGGCCGTGTGCATAATGAACTGACTTCCCTTGCAGTTGCAATTGGCAAAAATGGGATTGTGGCTTCTTACAAACTGTGCCATGTTAGACGAAGACATTTTGTTGATGAATGTCTGCATGATGGACTGTAATCTGATCCCAACAGGGCTTCATTACTCCTTGCAAATAGACTGATACAGATAAAAGCTGATTTGCTTTTTAAGTTTTTTAAAAATTTATTTTAAGTATTTCTTTGGGGATTTACTTGTAACCAGTAGAAATACATTCATTTGTCAGTTGAGTATCCTTGGTAGATGAGGCTGGGTTCTAAGAAGCAGGCAGTGACACAAATGTGAAGACTGGGTTTTTGTTTAAAATCTTACCTTTCTACCCTGACAAAATTTCCCTTGGTACAGAGTGCAAACCTGAGCTGTGTCATATTCAACTCACTGACCTGGCTGAAAACTCATCCTAAGGAGGGATTAGGAAAAAATTTACCCATATTTTTTTCCCCTAAGCTTTTACACACATTTTGGTTATTGGGAAATCCCTGGATATCTAAATGATGTTTCATGGTATTCAGGCAGTCTTGCACAGTCTTGCCCAAGCAGAAGTTTGGTTTAAGTGGGTTTTTGTCAGAACAAGTTCTAACAAGTCACGTAACAGTGCCCTTTCTGGATTAAGAGTCAAGGATCTTATTTATTTTATGCATTTCTTAGAAAAACCAATAGAGGAAAAGTAGAGATTTGTGTCTGGGACACAGAGAATTCAAAGTTGTTTTGTTGCTTCTGTTTCAAAGTAGGTAGTCAGGGGAGATGGAGCCTCTAGGACAGAGGCCCTGGAAACATTTCTGTGTGATGGGTGGTGGAAGTTGAGGGCAGTTGTGCCTGCAGAGGGGTCTCTGCTTCCATGGGGACGTGTTTGCAGTTGGCTACTGAATGTATTTTGACTTGCTTAACCCTGGTAAGAAGAATCTTGCTGTCTGGAAGTGGCAGACAGTCATCTAGTGCATGCAGAGCTGCACAGGTGCAAACAGAGGCTTCTTTGGGGTCCTGGGGGGGAGACACTGCCTTGGGATTGGTGTTTTTCTGTTGGTTTCGCTATTTTTAATGAACTAACGATGTCTTGCTTTTTGTAGCTCTGGCTATGGGCCTGTGTGTTGCAATGATAGCCTTTGTTCGGCTGCCCAGCCTGAAGGTTTCCTGCTTGCTGCTCTCTGGGTTACTAATTTATGATGTCTTTTGGGTAAGTGTTTGGTTTGGTTTGGTTTTGCTAAAACTCTTTTTATGCTTTGGATTTGTAATTGGCCTTGGGCCAGTTTTACGTGAATTCTACTGGTATGAAGTTGAGGAAATCTGGCAAAACCAGAAAATTGGCTCCACCACTCCATTCTGAGATGCTGAATTCTACAACAGGATACAGAAATATTTCCTTGATAATTACTTGCAATAAAGCAGAAATAAGATTAGAGTATTTTTACTTTTTCATATTATTAAAAAAAATAATTTGGACCTCAGATTTTGAAAGCTGGCTGAAGATGAGAACAAGCATTTCCCACACACACAGAGCTGTGTCCACACTGGCACAGGGACATGTGGTGGCTTCTGATTACAGTGAAATCTGCAGAACAGGAATGTAAATGGACTTAGAGCCAGACAGGCTGGCATAAAATCCTAGTGCACTTCTACAAGAAACCTGACAGAATGTGTTCTGTAATAGCGAGAGGGATTTGTTTTGCCTTGGCATAACACCGAGCACTGATCCAGGGCAGCACCCACTGACAGCTCTGGCAGCCAGAGGTTCCAGTGGGATGGGCTGTAGCATAAAAGCCTGTTGGGGACAAGGGCTGCCTCATTCCATTTATGAGTGAGCACCATGCTCACCTCTTCTCTGTTCTGCAGCTTTCTTCTGTTTTCAGGGTGCTGTTATCTGCATTTGTCATCCCCACACTATCTGCTTGCTGTCCAGACTGATCCTTTGCCAAAGGATCTCAGGATACTAATCAGTATCTTGATATCAGAAAGTATATTGCAGTTATTCTTGAGGATTATTAGTGTAAAAAGCTCTATCTGAATTTTTGAAATAGATTTTACCTTTTATCATCATATATACATTGTATGTATAAGAAAAATATCCTTTCTTTAATAGCAAAGCAAAAATACATTCAGCTTGAGTTGCTGTGTAATTGCAGTTTGTAACTTCTGATTACCTTGCTCTGTAGGTCTTTTTTTCTGCCTACATCTTTAACAGCAATGTTATGGTGAAAGTGGCCACACAACCAGCTGATAATCCCCTGGATGTGTTATCCCGGAAACTTCACCTGGGACCAAATGTAGGCAGAGATGTTCCCCGTCTGTCACTGCCTGGCAAACTTGTGTTCCCAAGGTAAAAGCTTCTTTTACTGTAGTACATGAGAAAAGTTTTCCCTCCATATACTTAGTGGTACTAATTCTGCTGGAAAATCCCTGTTCAGTCATTCCCTCTTCGTGCTGAAGAGGAATATAATGAGCAGGACTGGACACTTTGCTCATTCATAGAGAAAAGACCCTGACTGGGGTAAAAGGTGCCCAGAGGTGTTCAGAGCAGGTCACACTTCTCCACATTTTTGAGAGTTTTGCAGCCTGATGTTTGCTAAAAAGCAAAAACACTAAAAGCAAAAGATCTGATGTTTATTATAACATCAGAATAGTCTGGATTACAGCATAATTGCAGATAGTTGGGAAGGGGTTGGAAGCTAATCTAAGCAAGGGTGGCTTACCAGGCAAGCTCGGTGCTGAACAGAGATTATTCCACTTGTACCTGCTCCAGGGGTTCCCTGATGGCTCAGATCTGTAAGCAGACATGCCCAGGGCCTGGTGGGGCAGTAAACTCAGAACAGCAGCAGGCAGGCAGTAAGTTTTGTTGCAGTATTACTGTGTTCTTGTTTCTTTAGATGTTGGGATGCTGGAATTACAGAGACTAGAAGTTGATTGTCTACAACAATAAAACCAAAATTGTTCACTTTGTCAGCTTTGTGATATGAAATCACAAAGTTGGCAAAGTGAACAATTTTTCATGAAAAATATCTTGGATTTAAGATAATGGATGATTTTAGTTCTTAATCTTTTTCACAATTGGCTCTTTTCTGGGAATCTGGCAAGACTGTAGTTTTCTGTTTTGTCTGAATGTCCAAAATGGGTGTACTGCCTTGTTTTAGATGTACGTGCATGAAGATGCACTTCACTGGTAATCAACAGATCAAAGGGCCAGCTGGTCCCTCCCATCAGCACTGATGAGGGAGAGGACTGAAATACTGAGTCAATGGATCTGTTTCAGAGTGATCTAAGGGCAAAAGCAGCTTAAACACTACTACTAGGAGAAGGAAACTGGTTTGGAGCAATGTCATCTCTGCCCAAATGGGTTTGTTGTAAAGCTGAGGTGAAGAAATCACTGAGGAAATGCTCATTAGCCAGCACTGGGTTCCACTACGTGCAAGTTTGCTGGTAGAAAGAGGGGCTGTGCCAAGTGAAGCTCAAAACCACAGTGGAGCAGTCTAGAGCTTGTCACTGTTTGTTTTGGCCATGAACCCAATTCCAGTTGCTCTTTAGTTCCACAGGCAGCCACTTCTCCATGCTGGGGATTGGAGATATTGTGATGCCAGGGCTTCTGCTCTGCTTCGTCCTGCGTTACGATAACTACAAGAAACAAGCCAACAGTGATTCCTGCGGTGCCCCAGGCCCAGGGAACATCTCTGGGCGTATGCAGAAGGTCTCTTACTTTCACTGCACACTTATTGGCTACTTTGTAGGTGAGTAATTAGTTCAATATTAAAGAGCTGCCTAAGTGAGCAGATATGGGATTATTGTAGTAGGTTTAAAAGATGATGAAAGCAAGTGTAAAGAGGCTTTGAGAGAGGATGCTTGCTTATGTTCTTTTTAATCCTCCTCTCTTTGCATTTATTGGCATGGTCTAGGGAGAAAAGCCCTTCTGTAGTCTTCAAGATTTTTTTGGTAGTTGTTGTATTTTATTTATAGAGGATGAAAGAGAATATTGATGTGTTTTTATTAGCACTTACACTTTGCTTCACTGGCATAAAGAGTGTTGTAGCTCATACCTGAGTGATGGGAAAAATACGGAAGTTTCCAGATGAATTATGCTGTGCACAGTGCATAGCAAATTTAAGCAATTCACCTAGGCAATTCCTGCATTTTTGTATTCTGATCCTGACATAGTAGTACATACAGAACATCATCAATAGTTACAACTGGAATGCTGTTTATAATTTGCTGTAGCCAGCCCTTTCCTGCCCAATATAAAATAGGCCTTTCCCTCCACTCAGGGCATGCGTGTGCACATCCTGACCTCCCACGGCCCTTCTGAGCTGAAAAGCAAAGATCATTTCCTACCAATAGCCTTCCTTCCCCCACATATCCATTTTTCCCCCTACATTCCCTTCTGGCAAGTGTCCAGGGAAGTCATTCCTGATGTGTACAGCCCTTCCTCTGAGCCCCCACTGCTCAGGCCGGGGGCCAGAGACCAAGTTGTAAGAGCAGCATTTCAGTGGATGCAATCAGCTTCCCCCCTTCACCTTTTGTTGTATTTTGTCTGAATTATTCTTGGCTTAGTCAGAGATTCAAAACTGGACCAAGTGGCTCAGCACAGCCTAATATTAAAATAGTGTAATTTTTCACTGTTTCAACTGCATTCAGGGAAAGCAAAGCACAGAGAAGTAACTTTTCCTCACCAGTCTCTCAGAATGAGGGTGAAGCAAGCTTCAGTGGATGAAATGCTGAGAACATCACCTGCACCCTGAAGATATTCATAGTCACTTTTTTCTCTTACAGGCTTATTAACTGCAACAGTAGCTTCTCGTATTCACCGGGCAGCCCAGCCTGCCCTGCTCTATTTGGTACCATTCACTTTATTGCCACTCCTCACCATGGCCTATTTAAAGGTAAGAGGGCAGGACACGTGGGCAGCAGGGAGCTCTGGGCCAGCTGGCAGCAAGGGTCAGTGTCTTTGCACTGGGCAGCAGCTCTCAGGGGGATGATGTGTGTCCCTGGCAGGCCTGGCCCAGAACAGAGGAAGCACTGCTGTCGGGTCAGTCTTCATTTCAGAGGACTGAGCAACTGAGAGATTGAGTTCCTGAAATAGAAAGATCATTAATGCACATAAAGTACCAGTAATTCTAAACTAAATAATTTTTGAAATACTAAATTCTGTTCTAATTGAATAAATGACTTTGACCTTGTCCAGTTGGTCATGAAATACCACATGCACAAAGTCTGAACAGTGACTGTGGAAGGAGAACCTTGCTTGCCTCTTCCCAGTCACCTGTTCTGAACAGAAATTGTGAAATTTGCCTTTTCTGTTCTAGGGCTGTTGCTGAAGCAGACATCTAGCACTCTGCAGAGCAGAATGTAAGAAAGGGCAGGATTTTCATCCTGAGTTATTATTTCCTTCCCATCAGAAACTTATTTTGGGTATACCTGCTCTAAAAGTAAGACGTTCTGGCCTGACAGGGAAAGGATTTATTCTTACTGTCTTTATTGTAATTTGCAAAACAAGTGAAGAATAGATTTGCTCTAAGACATGTCTGCAATTCTGTGTGCATTTTAAACTGTGAATTCTAAGCAGATTTGAGTTTCTGAGGGCACGATCCTTGTGCTGTTTCCCTGCCTAGGGCGATCTACGTCGCATGTGGTCTGAGCCTTTCCACTCCAAGTCCAGCAGCTCCCGTTTCCTGGAAGTATGATGGAACGGACAGGAAGTAACCTGAACTTCTGCCTTGGTCCTTTTCACTTTAACTTGTGGCTTTGTTGTCTCCTAAAGCTGGACTGGCTGGTACTTGGGAAGGTACCAGTGATGGGACATGTATGAAAGGACTTTGTATTAAAGGAGGGAAAGAAACAAAAGCTAAAATCCCAGAGCTCCGCGTGACTCCGTATCTCCCTGCAGATGTGGAATTGGGGACCCTTTGTGCAACTGCAGCCACTTTCCTCTTTCCTCACTCGGATGGATTAGTACCAGACTATTCTTTGTGAGAGAGGAAGAGACAGACTTGAAACTGAAAACGGCTTGAAGTCGTTCAAAAACTTGTGAACACTAAACGCAAAAACAGTTAAGCAAACTGAGGCTTCTTCAGAGAACCCCTCATGGACATTGGGACCAGTTTCCTGCGGGACTTCGGTTTTGAAAAGAACTGAGACAGAAGGTCTTCTGTCACAATATTGAGTTTTTTTGATTTATTAAATATTTCCTGTGGTGTGAGGTTACTTATTAAATCCACAGACATTGAGTGACTTCTTGCAGTATACATATAAAAATTTGTTGTAACAAGTTACATTTCCACCCAGATGTCATATTGCAGTGAAAAAGGGCACGATTTTTATACATATATATATACACACATATAGATATATATATGAATAAATAAAAAGGAAAACCTGCTAAGATCATGCTGTGTAGCAGACAGGGGCTTGCTGTAATTTTTAGCATGTAGCGCAGTTACTCTGGCTTATGTATATGGATCTACAATGAGCTGCTGTTTTTTTCCCCCCTTCCAACAACTGAACCTGCAGTTTAAAACCAAGTGTAGTATTTTTACTGGTTGTACCATGGACTTTAGGGGATATTTGATTTGATCAATGTAGCAAACTAGGGAAGAAAAAAGTTCAAACCCAGCCCTGTGTGTCTGAGGGGGGAGGAGGTGGGGGGGTGTCTTTTTTTTTTTTTTTTCCTTTTTTTTTTATTTTTATTTTTTACAAACAGCTCCCTTGCAGGTTTTTAGTAGTTCCTTCTTGACCAGTGCATGTATTATAGCAGCAATTGTCTTTGTGCTTTCTGATCATAGTAATGTATCACTTGTAAATACATTTTTTCTATTTTCTATTTTTTTGTATTTTTTGCATTTTGTTTCATTAGTGTGCTGTATTTTTCCATGCCCCTGCCCCTCAAAGAAAAAAAAAAAGAAAAAAGAAAAACTGTCCTTAACTGTTGTGACTGGTTGGAATTTGTGTGTTGACTGCTTTGTACCTGTAGCCTGTTAAAATGTGGATTTTATTCCTTCTTTTTTAAAACCAGCAGTTCCAGTTGTTATTTTATTGACTGAAAGGCTTCCCTGAGGTAACTAAACTTTCTTCCTTTCAAGCACTGTGCCAAGCGGGGATTGGAGAGCTCTCCTGAGAGCCCATAGCTCCTGTAAGTTGACAGATGCTGGGAAGTGTTAGTGGCATGGGAGAAGGAGGAATGCTGGAGACTGGCTCTGACTGAGCAGTGAGGTGACTTTGGGACTGGTTTCGTTCCAGGTAAGGGAGGAGTTGGTCAAACACCCGAAGCTCCCAGCACTGTGGGGTGGTACAAGAGCATATTGGACATGGCAGGAAATTTTGCCCAGCCACATGTATGCACTGTCATTAATGTCATTAATTAACCCCTTCCTCTGTTCTCAGGCAGGTCTGGCATGGTGGCAGAGGGGCTGATGCCTCTGAGCTGGCTGGGATGCACCTCCAAGACAGCTGGAACGTCCCAGGAGAAACAGTAAGACACAGCTCAGCCCTTGTGGGGTGGGCAGGGACACTGAAAATTTAGCAAATGTGGGTGCGTGTGGCAGGGGGGACGTCGGGACTTTATCTCTCTCTCACACACCCCCCCAGCCCCCGAGTTCTTTTTTTCCCTTAGCTGAAAGCCCCCGTTGGGTCTGGTACAGTTGCTGATGCCTTCTTTGCTGAACTCCTTAATAAACTAGACACAAAGTCCTGCAGTGAGACTGCCCAACCACCTGCCCCTTCTTCTGGAAAGTTGTCAAAAATAGCTATTTTAATAATTGACTAACATAAACCTTCTTGCAAGAGGTAAAATGCTGGCAAAAAAGTAAATGTATGGCGTGCTTACAGCACAGTTGTCAGGACATGGAGCAGAACTGTTGTGTACAAATCTGCTGACAGGCCTGGTTCTCTGCTGTGTCTGAGAACAGTCAACTTAGAAATGGCACAGTTTATGCTGACATTTCTCTGAGGTCACGCTTCACCTTGCAAACATGACGAGTTCCAAAATTTGAATCTGAAATTAGTTTTTCATTCAAGTTACAGCACTGTCACATTTTCTTATCACTATTCCATGTCTTCATTCTATTAATCTTCCAGGCACTTTGCTTTTTTACTTCAGGATGTCTTTCAGCTATAGTATTTTCCATCTTTTCCAAATTCCCAACATAACCTGAATGTGTGGCTGTTGCCAGGTCTGTGTTGATAGTGAGGGCTCTCAACTTAGACAAAACAAAGATCTAACTGAAAATCAGAATAAATGTGTCCTTTTTTCAGAATAGCTCGTCTCCCTTTAGCCTGTTGGGAACTCACAAGAGTCTGAGCTACATAATATAAAAACTATCAGGTCTAAGATGGGGCAAGAAGTAACTCCTAGTTACTGTAACTGTGTTTTCTAGTTCAGGCTGCACCTGCTTCACCATCATAAGCAGTTTCATGTACTCTTAAAGCATTGTGGGACAAAAACCACAAAGTCCTTGACAAGCGTAGCTTTTGTTCTTGAAATGTGACTTACCTCCTTCCCCACTTGTTTCTAATTTATGTGTAACCTGATTTTCCTACCTCTGTGCCCCAACTTTGCAATGTTTGGCTGAGTTTGTCAATTGACAGAAAGTTGTGGCTTCATGTGTGAACAGACCCTTTTCTCCAAGGAGAGCCTGGCCCTGCCCACACCTGGGTTTGTGCTGTCTCAGGCTGGCTTGGTAAGAGCTTCTGATTTAATGCTGCAAAACTCGTTTGCGTTTTGCCCTTTCAGCAGTTCCTCTGCAACAGCCCTGAACAGCAAGCACACACTCGACACACACTCATCACACAAGTTCTCTCAACCAGCAGCAGCGAGGACTAAGCTTGAAGTATCTTGCTCTGAGAAAAAACACTGCTTTGCTCTGGGCCTTTGTGTGTAACCATGCTGTTTTACCCCCAAAGCAGTGCAGTATCACAGAGCTTTCTCTCCCTGAAACTGTCGCAGCAGGGAAAACAAAAGCTTTAAGAAAGCTTTTGTTTGAAAGCTTTTGCACCTTTTTTTTTTTTTTGGTCACCTCAACGTTGTAGGTTTTCTCGTCTGTCAGCTGAGGTGGTCACAGCCACCACGATGGGAGTAACAGGGATGATTTCATTCTGCTCTGGAGAGAAGCTGCAGCAAATTAGAGCTGGTAATGAGGGAGGCTGAGGGTGAAGAGGGGCAGCCAGCAAGCGCTGACAGCACAGCAGATCTAAGAGAAGCACCTGGACAAGAGGGAAAATGGGCTGGCAGGAGTGTGACTGACTGTGCTGGCTCACTGGGGATTCAGCTGGAGTGCAGCATAACAAGAACTCTGCATTGCTGAAGTCCTCTAGTCCCTGCAGCTCCTGTTCTACCTGAGTGGCTGCAAGAAGTTAGTGTAAAATAGGATCCTACATCTTCAGGTACTGGCACAGAAGTGAGCCTGCAGCAATCGACACGGGCTGGAATCAAGCTTCATCCAGAGAAGCCCTCCGTAATTTACAACATATTCACCATCAGTGGAATGGTTTTCCAGTAGGAATACTCTCGTTGACTGCAGTGCCTGGCGAGTTCTGTCAGTCCTTATGCATGGGAGAACAAGGAGGAACTCAGCACTTGAGGCCTTTGCCCCAACACGCTGTTGCCCTCCAGCGCCCTGCACAGGGATGACTGACATCACTGAGAACTGGTTGCACTGGTGCTTGCAGGCCCTGCTGGTTTGTGCTCCAGTGTCTTGTGACTGGAAGAAATTACTCTACATTAATTCACATCTGCATTAAAAAAAAGGTGAGGAAGTGGTGGTCCTTTAAAATCAGGTTTTATTTGTCTTCTCTGCTCTCATGTAACAGAATCCTGCTCTTCTTGTCTGCACACAAGTCTAAATAAATGGCACCACAGGAAAATAACCATTTCCCTCTAGTGTGCTTGTTTGGACAAGGAGGTGGACTGGACTGGACCATACAGACTCCAGCCTTAATCTCCTCCCTCTTCACCTGAGTTTGGAGCTTTTCCTTTGTCTGTTGATGCTTCTAAGGTTAATGTCTTACCAATGATCACTGATGGAGGATGTGCTATTGCTAAAGCTTCCTGGTGAGGTTTGTGTGTCATCTCTGCATTTCCTCGTTGCCCAAAACTTGAAAATATTAAAAGCTGTTACTGCCCTAGTAGGCGCTCCCTTTCCTGCTGATATTGCAGAAGCAGGTTTGGGAGGAGAGGGGATTTTTGGTGTGGTGGTTTGTTTTTTTTAAACAAAGTAGTCCTAGGCATTGCAGCTTTGCTGTCCTCTGCTTCTATCCCTACATCCTAGAGCAGCTGAGTGAGCAGCCATAGTCTGTGCTCAGAGCCCTCTGTGTGTGGGTTGTCCCTCCATGTCTTCCTGTGTCCTCCTGTCTGGCTCCTCTCCTGCTGGAAGGGATTACCTCAGCCCAGGCTGTCCCATTAAGAGCTCACACACAGCTGCATCTCACACCTGAATTCCATTGAAGTCTTATCTGTAGAGATACATGACCAGCAGCCTGAAGCAGGGCACAGAGATCATGGCTCTCAGCACCTCTAACTGGCACTGGTTATCCAGTGCTATGTAGTGACAAATTATGCAAAACAGGCAGTGGCTGGCAAGTGCTGTCATGTTGCCACTACCGAGCCATTCCAACACTCCAGTTTAGGAAAAGCCCCAGGTTGCCTCCACCCTCCTGCACTCACAGCCATCACTTACAAATCTCAGTCCAGCCTCAGTGTGCCATACTTTGTCCAAAGAAGAATCAGCACATTTTAACTAGAGGGTCAGTTACTCATTGGTGAGGAGAGCCTCCATCAATAGCCTCATTCAGGAGGGTCAAACTCCATTACTGTGCACCATTACGAGGCACTTGGGGCAGTGTGCTGGTGCAGGCAGCTTCCTCAGCCTCGGTAGGCCTTCAGCAGCTGGCCTGCGATCACCAGTCTCTGGATCTCACTGGTCCCCTCGTAGATCTCAGTGATCCGAGCATCGCGGTAGTGGCGTTCCGCCGGCATCTCTGTCACATAGCCCATCCCACCCAGGATCTGGATAGCCTGAAACAAAGGCAGCAGCTTAGAAAGGAAGTGAGGCTAAAAAATCTGTTTTCTACAGAATGCACACACAGCCATTTTTAAGAGGAACTGAGGCCACTGCAAGCATAATAGGGAGGGTAGGACACATGGGGATGACTGCAGCTCATTTGTGATGATAGGAATACATAGGATTGATCTGGGTAAGAGTGATATGGATATTCCAGAGGGGCAATTAATTGCTTCAGAGGTATCTGTTAGTGATCCATATTCTAAGATGCTTTTATTAAAGACAGGGAACACTAAACTGAGGAACAGAGGATCTCATCCAGGTGCAGTGGTGATGACTGGTGGCCCCATGTTCTCTTCCACATTGCTGCTCCTTCTTAAAAATGCTACTGCCCTGGACAGCTGCCACAGGCCAATATAAACACCTGCCATCTTCCTAGTTCCCCACAACCTGTGAAGATGGTTGTGCTAATTGGCTTTAGCCATAGAGCTGGTTGCTTGCTTGGTTGGTATGTTTCAAATATAAATTAGTATATCCCATCCCACCTTACCAAAGCACTTGTGAGACATCCAAAGTCCCTTCCCACATATGTATGTCAGAATTGTCAATTGACAGTTACCTGATGAGCGATTGATGTTGCAGCTTCTGATGCAGCCAGTTTGGCCATTGCCGCTTCCTTTGGGGAAGGAAAACATCAGAGGGTGCAGTTGTCACAAAAAGGAACCCCGCACCTGCACAAGGAGCTTGAATGCTCACCCAGCAGCTGTGCAGAGAGACAGGCCTGATGATGATGGTGCCAGCTGAGAGCAGCCACCCCTCTGCCCTCAGCTACAACCAGTGCTGAACTCTGGGGCTGCCCAGGGAGGGCAGCAGGCCCAGGACCTGCTGGGGTAACCTGGGGTTACATGCCAGCAGTACTGGCTGGGCAAGCACTGAGCGTAGCAATGCTCTGTGGAGTGGGGTTCCCTGTGCTATGGCTGCTGGAAAAAAAAAGCAGGGCTGGAAATACCTTAGTGAAGGGCTTTCCATTGTCCTTCAGCATAGCAGCTCTCCAGGTCAGCAGGCGTGCACCCTCCAAGGCCACAGCCATGTCTGCCAGCTTGAACTGCAACAACAAACACTGCCTTTGGTCCGGGGCCTCTGCCTGCACAAGGGAACAGCTGAATTCTCCCAGCCCTGAGGCTATCTAAGGAAATTAAGCCTCTGTCCCAACAATTAGTGTTAACAGCATTTGAAAACAGAATTATCACCCTGTTTATCCCAGATAGCACAAAGTGCACTGTGTGCCTGATACCATGCCCAAGAGCACACATGGACTTTCCACCAGCCCCAGCACCCTGTGGAACTGCCCTGTGTGCCTAGCTCGCACCTGCACTGCCTGGAGCTTTGTGATGGGTGACCCAAAGGCCATTCTCTTCTCAGCATAATCCACAGCACAGTCCAGAGCTGCCTGGGCTATTCCAAGTGCCTGTGAGGCAATACCAATCCTTCCTCCATCCAGAGTTTGCTAAGAAAGACACAAAATATATATAAGTCAAGTCATACTCAAGAATAATACACACAGATTTCTGGTGTTGCTGGAAAGCTGCTGTAGCCTTAAAATCCTCTGATCAGAGACCTCCTTGATTCAGAATGTTCCCAGTTTTGCAGGAATAGAGCTGTAACAGGCACTGCCACTGCAGAGAGAAAGCAGATGTTCAACAACAGAAGGAGAAAGGAGAGGGATTGCTTATTAGCTGGGAGAAAAAGAGAGGGTACAAAATAAGGGAAACAGCACAAGGATCTGATCTTGAAGGGGCTGGAAAGAACTCTTCAGGCAGACCCAACTCACTCTGCAGCTGATTTCACTTTGGAAATCTGGTCAGTTTTCCTTTTTTACCCTCAACCTTAGGACACATGTGAAAGCATTTTTCAAACTGATTAGTGAACCCAGTCAATTACCTGACTTAGCTCAAACGCCCACTCTGTCCCTCTGTGCATAGGAAGAAATTGCAGCACAGGGAGAAAAGGCCTCATCTTCTCAACCCTAGGCTGAAGGTCTTTAACAGAACTTGTCAGTCACCAACTGCTTTTAGTTCTGGACATAATGGAATGGGCTCTGCTCCAGGGAGCTCGGCCCAAAATGTCAGGCAAACAAAGGGTGTTCTGCCCCTCCAGAGAGAGCAATGACCAGTCTCAAAGGACAGCGCTTCACTGCAGGAGACAAAGCTGTTCCCAGCCGTCTTGTTCCTCCTCAGAAGTCACATGCATACCATAACTCAGCTGTCATTCATCTTGAGACACTCTCCAGAAGTTGTCATGGGCCTCCAGGACAACCTTCCTCTGCCACAGTATTTACATGGGGAAATGCCATATTTTCCCTTTATGTATGAGTACAACTGGAGGAACAGAGGACTGGGAAAGAAGAAAAATTAAAATATACTGTCCCTGTTGACACAGCACCTTAGTGGCATCAGCATTACTCCAGCTGAGAACTGCCACAATAGAAGAGCTGTCAAAGCTCTGTGTAAATTAAACATTTATCAGGCTCTGGGAATGATTCCTCCCATCTTGGCAAGAAGGGTCAACAGCTTAACACGACAGAACAACTTATGCAAGCAGTCCTCACTGAAGTGACTGCTTCTGGAAATGGCTTACAAAATGGTAAGCTTGGGAGCTACAGCTGTACACAGCCACAGCTGCACCCCCATTCCTCTCTTACCATGGCGATTTTGAAGCCCATTCCTGGCTGCCCCAGGAGGTTGGCCTTGGGTATCCGGCAGTCCTCAAATATCAGGTTGGCAGTGGAAGAGGCTCGGATTCCCAGTTTGTCTTCTTTCTTCCCCAGTGACAGCCCAGGTGTTGGCATGGGAACCAGGAATGCACTAATACCCTGCAACAAGACCCAAACTCTTAGGAATGGTGTCTTCTAACCTTCCCACTTCCTTGGCTGTCAACAGGCTCCCTCCATTTTACATAAAAGCCACATGTCCAGGTAACCAGAAGGAGGGAGGGGAGAGCTGAGACAGAACAAAACCAGCGATCATCAGCCCCTCCTCTGGTCAATGCCAGCAGGGCTCTAAAAACAGAGTCCCAGTCCTGGCAAAGTGCTTCTCCACAACTCCTTCACTCCCACCCCTTTTTCCTGACTGATACAAACTATCACACCTTGTGCTTCAGGGATTTATCCGTAGTAGCAAACACCACGGTGGCCGAGGCGTCCCAGGCGTTGGTGATCCAGGCCTTGGTTCCATTCAGAACCCACTCATCTCCATCCAGGCGTGCCATGGTGGAGGCTGCACCTGCGTCGCTGCCGTTTCCTAAGCAAAGAAGCAGCAAACAAACCTCAGATGATCCATCACACGCTGGGGGCAAACCCACCCCCCACCTGCACCCCATGAGCTCATGGCATCTCTTGAACTGTGGCAAAGTCACCACTGTCCCTCTCACAAGACAGAGAAAGGCCCACGTGTGTAAGATGTCCAGAGCTCTGCTCACACAGGGAATGAGTATCTTCAGCAGGGACCACAGGAGGGCAGTTCATACATTGGGTACTGAGACTTTACTGACACAGAACTCTATAAACCACCCTTCTACAAAATGTTCCAGTTTCAAATACCCAAAGTCCATCCTAAACCTGACCAAGGAAAGAAGCTACACCATGTTCTTTGCAACAGGGATGGTAACAGTCACATCACCTGGTTCACTGAGGGCAAAACATCCAATTTTCTCTCCACTGGTGAAGGGAGCGATCCACTGGTGCTTCTGCTCTTCAGAGCCAAACTTGAGTATTGGCCCTAAATACAGGGACTTTAAGAATTTAGTGTTGTTAGTGGCTCTTGAAGGTACAACCAATCAAGTAACTCCCTAACGTGCTCTCCAACACACCAGAACCCACCACAGGAACAGATCCACTGCTCCCAAACAGCCCTGTGCCACGCCAACCTCACTTCATGCCTGCCCCTCACTCACGTTATTGACGCTGACGATGACGCCCGTGGAGGCGCAGCCCCTGCTGATCTCCTCCACAGCGATGGAATAGGCCAGGTAGTCGAGGCCTGCTCCTTTGTACTTCTCTGGCACATCCATAGCCAGCAGCCCCAAGCCACCCATCTTCTTCACCTGCACACAGGGAATGGACAGGTCACATCCTCGGCACCAGGGGGCCAGCAAATACACACAGACATGTGGAGAGCAAGACATGTCATGAGAGGGCTACACCCAGAGGAAAAGATGCACCCAACTCCTGGTGAAATGGGAATCTGAACAAACTGGGAAGTGTCCTCAGATCCCAGTGACTTCAGCAGGAGCTGTACAGTTATTGTTTGGCTCTTGCTTGTTTAAAGAGCTCTCTTCAGTACTGGGAAAAGGGGAGCCTTCTGAAGGTGAAATAGGGAAATAAAATTCCACCAGCATTTCCTCAGCCTCCCACCAAAGCTCCACTCTTGCATGTCTCATGTCAGTAGAAATGAGAAATCTAGCTGATAAAAATCATCAGAACTTTACCTTTGAGTCTGCTGAGCTTCAGCCTAGGACTGCACAAGGGAAGAATTTTACAGAATGAATGACTGCAGAAAACAGTGGTGTAAGGTGATTTTTTAAATTCTCAATAAAGCCAGATCTTGCTTCCCAAACAATTTTTTTGTTAGTTGCATTAAAATCAATCTATCCCATCTAGTTCCCCAGCTAGACTCCTCGCTTTACAATCATAAGCTTCTGCTTGCTTTTGGAAGAACCGTGGAGAATTTTTAGGTACATAACTTCCCTCCTATGTGGCACCCAAAACACCAATACTCCACATTAAATCCAGAAGATCAAGACAGACACTTATTCTACGTATGTTGCTTCATCTTATTAAACACTTGTTTGCATCTTGAACTTTCCCCTACACATTCAAGTAAAAGACTCAGAATCAAATGTAAAATTCCCAGATGAGAAAAGTAAGCAGTAACGTTATTTTCTTCCTTAGGCTAAGAGTGACTTGCCTGGCTACCATCCTTATGCCTTACTAGTAAGAGGAATGTGACAAAACTCTCATGCCTCCAACAGTGTTTGCATGGAGTCTCTTGCTAATATAACAGGATCTATTTTACTGGAGCTTTGTATTTCATTGCTTAACACACACACTGGTGTGTCTTTTCACAAGAGAAATCACTGGTTTGGCTGGAATTTTGATTTTTTCACAGCCCCAGAGGATGAACAGCATGTGCCTCCTGACTACTTTTTTCCACCATCTGAAGCCATAAACCATATGTGCAGTCTATAAAAGTGTTTTATTAATTTTATAAATAAATTTTATAATTTGTATTACAGCCCACAAGTAAGTCAGTATAAGAACTAAAATCTCAGTGGTACTAAAGCCAGATACAGAGAAACACAAGTAAAGGTGAAGAGTCAAAATAGCCTGTGGGAATTACAACGTCCACATTCAGAACGAGTTGGTCTAAACTTCCATTTTCTGCTACACCGGAGCTGGATGTACATTTTGCCTCGGCCCGAGTGGTCCGGCCCCAGAGCAGCAGGAAGGGGGTCTCTGGCTGTGCCATCCCAACCCTCGCACTCACCTGCTCGGCCGGGAAGCGGTGCTCCTTGTCCAGCTGCGCTGCAAGCGGCATCAGCTCCTTCTCCGCGAAGTCCCGGACCGTCTGCCGCAGCATCTGGTGTGTCTCGGGCAGCTCGGCGCTCTGGTACACGGTGTGCAGCCGGCGGCACCGCAGAGCCAGCGCTGGAAGCGGGGAGGGGACTCAGCGCCGCCGCTGCCCTTCGCACCGGGCCAGGGGTGGGCGCCGGCCCGTGAGGGGCTCGGAGGGTCCCCCCACCCCGGGACACCCTCCCACAGCCCCGAGGCCGCAGCCGCGGCCCAGCTGAAGGGCGGCGCCACTCCCGCGCCTGAGGGGACTCGCCTCAGGCAGGGCCTGAAGGGCACCAGGACGCCACCTCCCGCGCAGGCCGCGGCCCCTTCCCGCCCCTCCCGCGTGTCTCGCAGCACCCCCAGAGCAGCCGCAGCCGAGTGAAGCCGCTCCCGCCACCCTCACCCCGGGGGGCTCCGCCGCCGCAGCGGGACACGACCGCCGCCATTGCCGCCGCCGCCATCGCCGTCGCCCCGCCTGAGGGAGGGCGGCCCGCACGCAGCGCCCCCTGGCGGCGCGGCCCCGCCCCCCGCCCGCCCCTGCAGGGCCGGCTGCGCTGGCAGGAGAGAAGGAGAAGGAAGGTCCTTTATTCCGACTGCTGGTGACAAATCACGGCTTACAAACACCGCGGCGACACCGCCACGGCCCCGCGCCGCCAACAACGACACGGCAGCACGGGCCGAAGGGGACAGCACAGAGGAGTCCACGCGCCAGCAGCCCCAAGGCCACACTGTGAGAGATACAAATAGGCGTCCTGTAACAGCACTGGGATCCAGGCAGGCGGAGAGGGCCTTTGCTGGTGTTCATTTTCCTGCTGCTGCAGAGGAAGAGCTGCTGACTCCACCAGGCTGCCATCACTCAGCCTTGTCCTCGGCAAGGACAAGAGATGGCGGTGTTTATGTCCAAGGGTCACACCCGACAGCGAGCCAGGCTCTGGGGTAGCACAAAGTAGCTCCATGTCACAGGAGAGCAGGCTGGGAAACAGCTGAAGACAATGCGATGAAACACAGAGCTGAGAAATAAAGTTGCTACATTTGGACCTTACTGCTTCACCACCGCCTTCCTCCTTCATTTCTGACTACTAAACACTTGTTTTATTCTTCCTGAACCCTCAGCTAATGTAATAAGCATCCCCAAGCACCAGAGAAGAGGCTGCTGCTTCTCTGCAACAAGAGATATTGAAAACCCTCAAGTACACACATAAAGGAAGACATTTCCTACCACAAACAGAAGACAAGAACAGAACTACCAGTCCACACAACAAGAGATGACCTTCCTTCTTCACAAGGTGCAGTATGTATTCCACACTCAAGGTACGAAAATAGCTCTCCAGGAAGTTTGCTGGCATGGATCCAAAGCCCTTTCTACAAAAATGGGAAAAAGAGTTCCCAGTACTAAGAGGACAAATACTAGAAAAAGCATACTATGGGTTTGTGGGTTTGGTCCCTTTCTTTTTGAAGTTTTGAGCAGAACTCAGTATGATCCCAACTTTTTTCTTTTTCCAACTCAGCACACAACCTGAGAGAAGTGGTCTTTGATACCTTTTCCCTTGCTCAAACTCCAACTGACACTGAAAGCATCTCACTGGCCTGCAGCACCAGGCTAGGACTGACCATCCACCTGCTAAGGATGTGATCCCAGTGGAACTTCTTCCAAGCTCACTGGCATGAGTAGCTTTGACCCATCATTAAAACACCAGAGCACACACTCCAGAAAGAAACTGGTCTGCTAAACAATGTTTACCAAAGACATCATCCCTGCCACAAAGAAAAGAGGCTTTATAGAAAGTACCTAAGAGAAAAGGAATCCTAAGGAAGCTACTAAAGTAGGGACAGGAGTTTGGAAATCCCTGACTTTCTGGATTACAATCAACTTTTTCAGTGCTGGGTTGCCCTCTTGTAGGGACTTTCTTTTTCCTGCAGCATGCTTTTAGGGCAAAGACCTTCTGATTTGGCAAAGCAAACAAACTCGGCTAAAAACTGCAGAGTGCTACTGCTGCCTGCGAGTCTCCTGGTTTTCCTCCAGGTCTCCCTTTTATTGCTGAATAGCTGACACATTCACCAGTGTGAAAGCGACCGCTTCAGTGCCGTTTCCTTGTCTCTGCTGACAGCCAAGGACAGGAATTCCCTTTTCCTACCGGGACCCAGCACCGGCAGCGCGTTCCCGCCGCCAGCAGCCGCTAGATGGCGCGCGCGCCCCGTGCGCGCCCCCATCCGCCCGTGCGCGCCCCCGCCGGTGCTCGCCCGCCCTGGTCACGAGCCCGTCCGCCTTTGAGGAACCTTTACCGTGACAAGAGAAACAGACGGGAACCGTCACACTCCTAAGAAAAGCGAGAGCTTGCTTCATGTAGAAACTGCGATAAAAGTAACGTTTAAAGGCACCTGGATTTATACTACATACAAAATTCAGCTCAATATGCTAAAATTTCCCAGGGAATAAGTAGGAGGCCCTTCAGACACTATTTCTGAACACTTCAGGATGAAAACCACACTTCCAGGCATTCTGCCTTGTGGTAACTTAGAGCAAAGCAAACACTTCCCACCTAGAGGCACAGCATGAGGGCTGCTGGAGGTGTTCACTGCAAGAGGCATCTCGAGCTCCACCTCTACAGCAGCTTTACCTAATCCTGAAGATCCTAAACAAGATTGCATTGGTGCCTGTGGAGATGCTGGAGGGGATCGATGGTGGCAGAATTATTATTCATCTTTCCATCAGGCAGACCTTGCCCCTCCACATTCCCAAGACATTTATTGTGGCTGCTCATGATTAATGCTCCACCCAGAATAGGTCATTTGTTGTGGTTAATCATAATTAAATCTCTTCCTAAGAGCTGGAGATTCTTTCATGTCTGCTACCCCACACACTCTCACTGCTTACTCTGATGCCAGCTGATGATCCTTGCCAAAGTTACTTTCACTAATCTGGAAGTAAAGGCAGCAGTTTCCTATTGCTATGCATTTCCTATGTGTTAACAGGCTCTAGGCTCTGATGTCCATCCCACTCAATCCTGCTAAAACACAAACTACGCTGAATCCCTCTTAACACAACCATTGAAGTGTTAGGTTTTAACTGTCTCAAGAACAACTGGAACTACTATTAGGAAAGGTCTCAAGTGTAGATACAACCTAACTCCCCTAACAAGAGACACAACTGACCAGCCCAGCATGGGGACAGGAAAAGTACCACTCCTGAGAGCCAGCAAAACTGGCAAAAAAGAGTTTTGATAGCTGAGATTTTGCACAGTTGGGAGCTGGGCCCCAGCACAGCTATTGGCAAGACACAGGTCTTCCTTTTCCCACTGCATGATGCTGTCTCCCATTGCCAGATACCAAACACGGCTGTGGCATCAACCTCAGCAGTGTGACTTCCTAAGCCATAAATAAGCAGCTGAACAGGCAGAGCAGTGATGGGAACAAGGAAAAAGAGAACATGTACATTCTCACTTTCCAAGGATTCCACTCCATAACACTGAGTAACCTGACCTGGGAAGCTTTAAGCTACCAATATCTCCACTGTAACAAAGAAACTGAGCTGGTGCTGCTCACAGCAACTCTGACAGACCAGTCAGGTTTACAAGTGTAGACTGAAGTCCAGGAAGCTCTGCTTCCTAGTATTTTTTCAAGTGATTTTCCACATTCTCTCCCTTTTTCCTCTAAGCCCCACTGGAGTGAAACCTCTACCCCAGCCAGGCTGACAATGTCCCATCCACCTAAAAAGCAATACATTCTGTAGCAAGAGCCAAAATTCCTACAAAGGGAAGAAGGAGAGAAGATAAATATAGTGAGATTAACTTCAGCTCTAAGATTGACCCCTGAGCTCCAAAATTCAACAATTTGCTCACAAAAGCTCAAAGAGAAATGTTATCAGAGGGATAGCCCCCTTTTCCTCCATCTTGTATCTCTAGTGAAATCTCTGCCAAAACAGATTAAATGTTTTTAGGGGCAGCTCAGACCCCCAGAGGCAGATGGAATATTCCTGCACTGCTTAGAAGCTGAATTAGTCTCTTTCCCACTGGAGAATATTGGGATGCACCCTAAAAAACAATGTGTCATGCCACAAACGAAACCACTGCCACTGAAGAGGTTAAGATTTTTCTGCTAAGAAATAGCTTAACACAAACAATCTGACCTGTTGAAAAAGGATATTCACCCAAGAGGTGAAACATCAGAAGCACTAAAGGTGGAACCTAACTAGAAAGACTAAGAGCAAGAATTGTCTGAGTGCCTCTGATCACTGACCTAACCAAAGGTATCAGAAGATAGCCAGGAACAGAGAAGGAGAGGCAGGATACACTGAGTGTCAGATAGAGAGGTGTTGCAGGGAGATTTCCTTTCAGGAGCCGTCGTCTTCGCTTCATGTTCTCAGCCTCATGCACAGAGAAAAAGTTTGGCAAGAAGCCTTGCTGCACAAGACAGCAACTCCAGTCCACTCCTGCACATCTGGAATGGTTAAGGGCATCACAGCATCCAGCAGACAGAATGGTTACTGTCCTCCATTGTAAGCATAGTCGGCCTTGTTGTGCATAATCAACTTGTTGTCCACAAAGTAAAAGCTGTCCGAGCGCGTCTCGTACGGGTTTTCAACCATCAGACGGACTGTGAAAGAGAAAGTTCCATTACGTTCAACAGCCAGCCACAGTCAGCATAAAAAAGACTCTGCCACTCCACTCATTTACCAGGCTGATGCTTTGCCCTACCCAAGGAAGAGAAGCAAACTGCTCTGCTGAGCATACTTCAAAGGCTGCAGCCTGCCCTTTTCTTTCTTCCTATTCACAGGATAAGTGCTGTCAAACGCAGACAAGTAACCTCGCTCAAAATAACCTTAGAAACTGTCAGAGCCGAGTGGAACCAAGCAGCCATCGTGTCTGTAAGCAGGAACTCATTTGTGGCACTCCCCACATGTACAGAGGTGTGGGGATGAAAACCCCAAACCTTCCCCACAGCCAGGCAGCCCCAAAAAGACCCCTGTGCCTCTGCTCTTATCCATCCTCTGAGGTCGAACAGACCCTGCACAATCTGTATTTGTAGAAATCTTAGCAGGCTTAAAAACAGACATCAGGGAAGAGCCACTTCTGTTCCAAAGCAGGAGGCTCTAGCCCTAGTAAGCAAGTGCAGAAAACAGATGGGTGGCTATAAAAAGGAACCTTTCTTCTGTGTTTTGTTTTCTTCTGGGCTATGCTAGGAGGCATCAGGCCCTACGACTCTGATAATTTCTTGCAGTCTGTGACTTATCACAGGTTGTCTTAGGCTTTCATTCTCAAAGGACACTTTGCAGCACAAATCTCTAATTTAGACAAGATTACACATTGCTAAACTGGGAACCTGTATCTGTTTGTTCCTGTCCCCTCAATCCCAGTCACAACTTCTTTCACAAGTAGAGGGAGAGAAAGAGCAGATGTACACACAAACAAAACACCACTCAGTGTGGAAAAGGAGGGACTTACTAAGGTCTTCTGAGAGCTGAGGGAATTCATAAATGTGTTCACATGTGTTCCTGCTACTGGGGATGCAGAAGCCAAAATCAAAATCGAAGTTCTTCAGCAAGCGATCTCGGAAGTAATGTCTCTCAATCATTCGGAAGTTCGACACTGGCTTTTCTCCCACTGTGAATTCCACTCTGCATGGAACAATCAGGAAAAAAACAGCTATTGGGAAGAACAGAGACTTGGGCATGAGGCTACACAAGAGTTCTCTACAGAGAGTTTGGTATGTGTAGTCTAAGATAGGCTCTCTCAAGTATTCAATCCAGTTTTGTTATAAACTGCCAAGTAACACTTCGTAAACATCAATTCTCCCTTCTTTCCATGAACTCATACTCACGTTGCACCAACAGTCCGAAGACGGAGAAACGCTGGGGTGAACTGGTACCGAACAAAGCGACCTGCACTCGCGTCCAGTTCACTGCTCTCATCTTCATCCTCCTCATCGTGCTCTAGAAAACGCAGCAGCCTGGAGTTACTCTGCTCATAGTGTACACTGGAGGTGATACTGCCTAGTGGGTGTATCAGGACAAGCTGCCTACTGCTTAGGTACTGAACATAAACATATTTAATAATTGGTCTGAGACTTAAACTGGCACGAAATAAAAGAGAAAAGACTTGCCATGACAGTTGGCCCAGCCTTGGTGGCTCCAGAACTGGAGCCACCCCTCCCTCAGTCTCACAGGATATCCCCCCTCACAACTGCCAATGCACATGAACTAATCTCTATTATAACCAGCCCAAAAAAGGAAGATTGCCAATCGATAGTTGTCTCCCATCCAACAATAATCACATATTTATCATAAGTTTTTCAGCAGAGATAAACTCAGTTCTATGCTTAAAGGAGAGGGATTTAGTCATCAGGACATATACCAAAGGACCCTTCTGCTCGGCTTGCATGGGTTGTGCATTGCAACCTCTCAGCTCTCTGAGTCTCTACATCCTCCTTGCAACGTTTGCATGCTGTACCTGAAGCAGATGGCTTGGCAATTTCAAATAGTACTGTTCCAGTTTCAAGGTCCCGGATCTTAAACCTGGTGAAGTCAATGTTGTAAATGTTGTCCTCAGGTTTGCATAAATAATCTGAAGAGAGAGAAAAAATACAGTTAACATTTCAAAACACCCGTGATCACTTACCACATGAATTTCCTTTTTTGTTAGCCCCAGCCCGATAAGATAATACTGCTTGTTATTTTGCAGAAGCTACATGAAAGCAGGACAAAATTAAGGATGTGAGAAACAAAGGCATGGTAGGTGCCAGGCAGGAGAGCAAGAAAGGGATGCGACCGGGACAGAAAAGCAGAGATCAGCAGCCCGGAGAAAAAACAAAAAGCCTCAAACAAATCAAAACCCACACACAACACAAAAGCCCCCAAACTTTCTGCAAGTTGTACGGGAGCGCACCGCAGCCAGCGCGCCCGAGCAGCCGCGTTCCCCGCCGGCAGCGCCGGAACGGGCCGGGCCCCGCCGCTCCCCACGCCAAAGGCCCGGCCCGGCCCAGCCCGGCCGGCAGAGCCCCCACCGCTCCGGGAACCGGCCCGCACTCACTCTCCGTCACCCGGCACAGCCCCAGGACGTGCTCGGGCCGGACGGTCTCCAGCGCTAGCAACTCGGACTCGGTCCAAGGCTGCCGTGGCGGCGCATCTGCCGATCCGCGTCGGCCACGCAGGCGGCTGAGAGGCCCCGCGGACCCCGGCGGCAGCTTCTTGTCCGGCCCCGGCGCCGCCGCCGCCGCCCGCGCCCTGGAGCCGCTCATGGCCGCTGCCAAGATGGCCGCCGCCCGCCTCGGTAGCTATGGGAGCGCGGGGCGGGGCGGGGGGCCGTTGCCTGGCAACGCCGCGTCCGAAGCTCAGCAGAGCCCGCTGCGGTCGCGCCCGGATGGGTGACCCGAGAGCCCCGCACCGCGCGACAGCCGCTCCCTCCGGGGACGCAGTGGGACCGGCCGGCTGGGAAAGCTTCGTTACCTGAGGGACAACAACAACACAAGGAACAAACAAAACCGGCCCCGCTCCCCCCGCACCGCCCGGGAAACCGGCGTCACCCCTCGCTGGCCACCTGGGCTCCCGGTTCCGAAGGCACGGCCCGAACCCGCAGCGCAGGCGGTGACAGAGAGCGGGTATCCCCCGAGAGCCCTGTTCTGTTCAGGGGACGGTGGAAAGCATTTTCCGGGGAGCAGCAGCGTCAGCAAGAGGATGGCATGGAGGGCACACCCGGCTCCTGCCCGGGGACACCTCAGCTGCTGTCCCTGGAGAGGGGGACAGCGACAGGACCGCGTGTCCCCGGGGCAGGCAGTTTAATGACCACACACCGGAGCTGGCAGTGGCAGACATCGGACGAGTCTCCCCAGCCTGGTGGGAGGAACTGGGGAGGTCCCACTTGGAGGGACTCACAGGAGTAACAGACGGAGAAAAGAATGGTTCTTCCCAAAGAGGGGCAGCCCACCAGGCCGCAGTAGGCACGCAAGAGCTGTCAAGAGTCACCTCCGGCCCTCTAGGGAACTGGGGCAAGAACAAACATCTGCAACCTCTTTTCAGACTCCAGCCAACACCGAACATGCTCACGATGACTGGAAGCAGATTTTGAGCAGTGGTTTGTGACTCTTGCTGTGGCTTGAGAGCAGCACACTCCTGCTACTGCCAACCAAATGGTATTTCAAAAAAACCTGCCCACACCAGTGCTCCTAAAGCCTCCTCGCTGCATGGGCTTGGTGCCTCCATCCTGTGTCCTAAGGAAGGACAGACCCATGCCTCCTGGTAAAGCACCTTCTCTGCATGGGACCAGAGTCCCTTGTTCCCAAGAGCAGACATCTAAAGCACAAGGCTGCTGCTTTCTCTCTGCTCCAGCTCCAGCCCCATCTGCCTCTGACATGGTATCAGGCTGAAAGCGGGGCAGCTTGCAAAGCCCCAAAGGCAGATTACATCTCTCTGCTGTTCCAGTCCTGAGCAGGAAGCAACAAGCACATCAGTACTTTTAAGAGGATGTTGTACCATTCCATTTGCACTTCATTGTTCAAAACAGTGGGCAAGAGATCACCAGGGCTGTACTGGAGGCAGCAGCACAATGTCACCCGGCAGTGAGCCAGGCTCAGCCTCCCTCACCTCCCTGGGTGTAGACCAGAGGGGACTCCTCTGCTTCCACCACCAGAAAAGAGGGACCATCTCATCCAAGTGACAATATAATTTTGTTTATTTTCCTTTAGCACACTGCTGGTTAAACTGCCAGACAGTAGATTTCAGAACATTCCCTCAACCAAACATCCTGGGAAAATTAAAAAATAAAACTGCTACCATGTACCAAAAATAAAATAACCCACCCCTATGCCCATCTCCCCCAAACTAGTCCCTGCAAAGCTGATGCAATCAGAAATAGGTATCTGTGCTTTTCACCTAGGGCCCAAGCTTGCTGCAAAACAAACTAAGAAATGTCACTGCAAGTTGTTACAACACAAAGCAATGGGCAGTAAAATAAAAAATCCTCCTCAAAAACCCTTTGTACTGGCGACACATACAGATGGAGAATTCTCCCCACACAGATTCGGCCTTTACAGACAACTTAGACCTGCAGCTTTAAGTAGTTTGTGATGTGTCCTTAATGCCAGTGGCACTTCCACACATCCACAGCCGGCACTGTGGAGCAGAGGGACCAGGTGCCAACTCTGATGCTGCTACCCCAAGGGGAACCAAACACTACCCCCACCTCTCACAGTCCTCGCTGCCACCTCCTGGCATGGAGCACAGATGTGCCTCTGCTCTCACAGGCTCCGGGGCTGCTTTACCAACCCAGCTGCCTCTAAAGTGGGAAAGCCCTGAAAGCACAAAGCCCCCGAGGAAACTACAAAAAATTCAAGCCCCCACTTGCCAGCCAGTTTCCAGCCACTGCTTTGCTCCAGAACACCAGCTCAGGAACTGCCACAGTGTGACAGAACAGCCATGGTAGCACAGGAGAGCAAATCCCCATTAAGTGTGACTGGGAACAACTCCAGGGCAGAGATCCTGCATTTCCTGGATTCACACTCTACCCAGCTAAACTGGTTCAAGCTGTACTTCGCCCCTTGCCTTCAAATCTCCATCACACAAACTCTTTAACAGAAACCTTTGATGTTTGCAAAAGATTATTCACATTTTCTAATCAGCCAGCACAGTTTCTAGGAGGGTTGAAAGCACTTGTTCTGCTGATATTTTTTTTTTAAATAAAGCACTTTTTGGGAAAAAAAAATCAAAACCTGTCAGTAACCTGCAGTAGCATCCTACCAATCAGACTGGGGACAGCATCATCACATCCCTCCCCACCCTCATCTTCCCCTCAATCTCCAAAAATAGTATTTAATATACAGCAATAAACTCTGAGCAAGCCAGAGTCCCGGAAGACGTGGACCTGCTTTCACCTCTCCCATCCATCCCAGCACCTTTCAATGCTACAATACTCCTGGGTCAAATCCATTCGGATCCAAGGTGAATGCATGTGCCCCAGACCCGCTGGGCAGCACGAAGCCCATCACGAAGGGGTGCAGCACAGGAGGCCCATCCCTGTGATCACGTTTCTGAGCCTTCACAGTTCCAACCTGGTGTTTGTGCCGTTGAGAACACTTGTGTGAGCCTATTTGGGACCAGCCGGTGGAGACAGACTGGTGGAACCAGGCCGACGTTAAAATAGCATCCTTGAATTGTATTAGGCTTTGGCATTTGTTGTGGAGATGCAGAAGTGCCAGTAGGTAAATTAGCTCAGTGCTGGCCCAGTTCCCATTTCCCTTGGATTCTCAGCAAGGATATTTCCCTCCCCACCATACGTGCAAGAAGCAGACTGATCTCTCCTACATTTGAGCACCAAACAGAGCCTGAAACACTTGGTACTTTGCAGCTGCTCAGAATCTGTCTCACATCGAGAGCTGAAGCTGCTCTCATGGTCCTCTCCCTCCTGGAGGTTATCAGCAACAGGCTTGCTCAGCCCAGAGTTCCTGTAGCAAGATACTTCCCCGGCTGTTGCAATCCCATTTCAACTTAAAGGCCAAGGGACAAGGCACAGGTCCCTGCTCTGCTCAGACCTAAGCAGCATGGGGCAAGCCCTCAGCAAGTAAAGTAGGGGTGCAGGACCCCCCCAAGCCCCACTCTGCACCCAGGAGCCACACAACTACCACGACCCAGAGTGATTCACTCAGCTCTGAACTGCACAGACGCCCAGGCACCAGACTGTCTGGAAGCTCTCCATCCTGCCTTCAGGAGATTTCTGGGGGAGACCAGACCTGAAGGAGCTCTTCCTGTTCTTCTATCCCCTGCTAGACTTTTCTTCCATTGACTTTAAGGGCTGAAAATAAAGATTACAGCTCGCAGTTCTCCACTTCAGCTGTGACCTCCAGAGCTGGCATCCAGGGACAGGGAGACAGTCCCCATCTGATCTCAAGGGCAGGGAATGCCTGTCCCTTGAAGAAAAAGAAAAAACTCAGAAGCTCCTTAAAAGAAAGAAGCTCCTTCAAATAGACTTTTATTCAAAGCCCGAGACAAAGGCACCAAAAAGAGAAGGGAATTCATTTGGCTTTCTGTTCACTGTCACCTGGGACACTCAGAAGGGTCAGAGATGTTTAGTCACACGCACAGAAGACTTCAACAGCCTGGCTTAAAGGAGGGGCTGATGGGACAATTAAAATAAGCTTTGAAACTGCTATGCTGAGGCTGGATCCAGACCTGAAACATCATACAGTGATTTTCCCTTTTTTAAGTGGAAGCTTTATTAAAATTGCCGTATCTGCCCCTCTCTATGAGTCAAGCCAAACTCTGTTCTGACCCAGCTCCCCACACTGCTGCATTCCATGTGCCTGCTGCTGACAGAGGAATCAGCACAAACAGGCTTGTCTCTGACCTGTCTCAGTTAAACAATGTCCTGGATATTCCCTCAAACACACATTCTAGAAAGCTACAGCCAGCCCCAACTTTTTCTTTCCCTGGTCAGAACCAGGTACCTCATTACATCCCCGAGTCTGGCTTGCAGATACTAGACAGAGATGGCCAGCAGAGCTGGAGTACTCCATTCCCAGCAAGGTGCTGACTGGCCCTCCCCCACCATCCTCTGTGCTCCCACATGCTTTGTTTGAAGGCTCCTTCCAAAGCAAACCTGTCAGGAAGGGATGGACCAGGAAGGAAGCTGCTCACAGGACCTTAACAGGGTCAGGAATCCTCCCAGAAACCAGCTTTGTAGTGAGAAAGATGCATAAAACTGAATTTAAGTCATGAAGGATGATATTTCTCCTCCCTATTCTTATTCAAATAGGACAAATTCATTTGAATTGAGCAACTGGAACAAACTAGATCACGCCCTGCACAGCTCTGCCTTGGGACAGCTGATGGTACCAAATGAGTGCCCTGGCTGCCAGGATAAACTGTCCTGGAAGACTTGTCTCCAACTTCTGCACATCTAAACACACACCCTTTCTCCCATGGTAGGCAAGGTGCTGAGATTACTGGATGAGCCACAAGAAGGCGAGTGATTCCTTCCTTCAAGGACACTCAAATAAAATGTACCCTAAAAGGCCTGGAGGAGAGCAGCTCCTTAGAGAGACGCCTGCCTTCAACCCCAGGTTCTTTGCTTAACAAATCAGCAGAGTTCATGGTTCTCAAAACTGATAAAGATCTAAACGTCTCTTCAATCCAGTTAGAGCAATCCCAAAAACGCTGGAAAACCCCTGCAGGCACTGTCACTGAACAAATCAGAGCTCATATTTAATAATAGTTTTTAAAGTATTAGGATTTTAACAGTAGCTAGAAG